GAGTAATAACTAATCCTACTCTAAGTCCTAACCTAACACAAGACCAAGCTGTACTCCTGGTCACACCCGTCTGGCGGGGGAGGAATAAGCCTGATAGTAACCCTACTTTAAGTTCTAACCTAACACAACATCAAACAGTATTCACTGGTCAGCACCCGTCTGGCGGGGGAGGAATACTGCCTGATACTAACCCTATTCTAAGTTCTAACCTAACACAACACCAAACAGTATTCACTGGTCAGCACCCGTCTGGCGGGGGAGGAACACTGCCTGATACTAACCTTACTCTAAGTTCTAACCTAAGACAACACCAAGCTGTACTCCTGGTCACACCCGTCTGGCAGGGGAGGAATAAGCCTGATACTAACCCTACTCTTTGTCTAATTTCTAACTTACACAAGACCAAGTCATGTGGATACCCTTTCTAAGTTGTACATCAGTAGTCAAAAGGTATTAAGTGGAACATTTTGGAGCTGGTCGTATTCTTTTTGAGACAGATCATTGCTATTTCTGTCACCAAATTTGAGAAAAATGTTGGTGGAGTATTTTGAAGTTGGTCACTTCTATCTGAGACTGATTGTGGCTATTAATGTCACAAAAGTAGTGGAGTATTTTGAATTTGGACACATTGTACTTGAATTTGATCACATTCTTTTTTTAGAATGATTATTGCTGCTAATGTAAAGGTTGAGAGAAATGTTGTTGGGTTGTTTTAAATTTGGTTTCATTCTGTTTGTGACTGATTAGTGCATTGTCAACATCAGAAAAGTTGGAACACACCATCATACATTCACAAATCTGGATGGTGGTCATGAGTAATAACTAATCCTACTCTAAGTCCTAACCTAACACAAGACCAAGCTGTACTCCTGGTCACACCCGTCTGGCGGGGGAGGAATAAGCCTGATAGTAACCCTACTCTAAGTTCTAACCTAACACAACACCAAACAGTATTCACTGGTCAGCACCCGTCTGGCGGGGGAGGAATACTGCCTGATACTAACCCTATTCTAAGTTCTAACCTAACACAACACCAAACAGTATTCACTGGTCAGCACCCGTCTAGCTGGGGAGGAATACTGCCTGATACTAAGCCTACTCTAAGTTCTAACCTAAGACAACACCAAGCTGTACTCCTGGTCACACCCGTCTGGCAGGGGAGGAATAAGCCTGATACTAACCCTACTCTTTGTCTAATTTCTAACTTATACAAGACCAAGTCATGTGGATACCCTTGGTAAGTTGTACATCAGTTGTCAGAAGATATTAGTGGAACATTCTGGAGCTGGTCATATTCTTTTTGAGACAGATCATTGCTATTTCTGTCACCAAATTTGAGGACAATGTTGGTGGAGTATTTTGAAGTTGGTCACTTCTATCTGAGACTGATTGTGGCTATTAATGTCACAAAAGTAGTGGAGTATTTTGAATTTGGACACATTGTACTTGAATTTGATCACATTCTTTTTTTAGAATGATTATTGCTGCTAATGTAAAGGTTGAGAGAAATGTTGTTGGGTTGTTTTAAATTTGGTTTCATTCTATTTGTGACTGATTAGTGCATTGTCAACATCAGAAAAGTTGAACACACCATCATACATTCACAAATCAGGATGGTGGTCATGAGTAATAACTAATCCTACTCTAAGTCCTAACCTAACACAAGACCAAGCTGTACTCCTGGTCACACCCGTCTGGCGGGGGAGGAATAAGCCTGATAGTAACCCTACTCTAAGTTCTAACCTAACACAACACCAAACAGTATTCACTGGTCAGCACCCGTCTGGCGGGGGAGGAATACTGCCTGATACTAACCCTATTCTAAGTTTTAACCTAACTCAACACCAAACAGTATTCACTGGTCAGCACCCGTCTAGCGGGGGAGGAATACTGCCTGATACTAAGCCTACTCTAAGTCCTAACCTAACACAAGACCAAGCTGTACTCCTGGTCACACCCGTCTGGCAGGGGAGGAATAAGCCTGATACTAACCCTACTCTAAGTTCTAACCTAACACAACACCAAACAGTATTCACTGGTTAGCACCCGTCTGGCGGGGGAAGAATACTGCCTGATACTAACCCTATTGTAAGTTCTAACCTAACACAACACCAAACAGTATTCACTGGTCAGCACCCGTCTAGCGGGGGAGGAATACTGCCTGATACTAAGCCTACTCTAAGTCCTAACCTAACACAAAGCTATACTCCTGGTCACACCCATCTGACGGGGGAGGAATAAGCCTGATACTAACCCTATTCTAAGTTCTAACCTAACACAACACCAAGCTGTACTCCTGGTCACACCCGTCTGGCGGGGAAGGAATAAACGTGATACTTACAACACTTTTCTAAGTTCTAACCTTACACAACTCCAAGCTGTATTCAATCAAAATGGATATCCCTAGTTCACTGTTAAATTAACAGAATATTTTAGTGGAATATTTTGGACCTGGTTATATTCTATTTGAGACAGATCATTGCTATTTATGTCACAAGAGTTGAAATGTTGGTGAAGTCATTTCAGTCATCATTCTGAGACAGTGATTATATAAATAAATAAAATCTGAACAATATGACTTATTATTTGAAACAGAAATATTTGCGGTTTGTTATACTTTTTTTTCTCTGGATTATACTCTCTTTCAACTTTTTTCCCCTCCAAAATGATGTGTATGCATTTGTGCGCTTGATTATCACCTGAACATGGTACAAGAAAAGGTGTTTATATTTTAAAAGTACATATTAATACAATCATGTATTTCAATATGTTTCCAGACATAAAAGAAATATTTGAGTTTTTGAAAATTTTCTCACTAAAAAGGGTTCATAGCAAATGGGCAGTTTTTGACAAAGTCATGTACCACTTACTACTAAATTAGTCTTTACCCTAACCTTAGTTTATTATCACCCTGAACGTCTTAACAATTGAAAGCCACATGCATGGCTACATGTAGATGAGTTTAATATTTTTCCTCCCTCCCTCATAGGTTTTTAATTTTATAGGAGGCAATTTCAGCCAGCCTTAGACTACCTAAATATACATCATCATATTTTTTTTTTCAAGTGGGTTTTTTTTTAACTATGTGTTGACAAGTAAACTGTGTTCACAATTTCAATTGATAGCTGTTCATTTGATTGTGCATCCTAACCCCATTTTAAAACACCCTGAATAGCAAATTCTAACCTGTACAGAGACACATATTCAAAGACCCCCTAAATCATATTGTTTTAAACAAAATTAGGACAGCTAGAATGCATTTTTGCAAGTAATTGAAAATTATAGACAAACCTCAAGTTTGATGAAACTTATTACATTTATTGCAACCAACATTTTAATTGAGAATCCCAAATCAATTATCTTATGTTATAAAATAATAATAATAATGTGGCTAGAGTTGGAATTTTTAAGATATAAGTATATAAGCACTTCTTCAAGTAGCACTGAGAAGTCTTTAGTCAGAGTATAGAAAATTCTTACTTGTAAATGGTAACCCTTCAGAGAACAGCATAGGTGTGTTAATAAAGCTGAAATTCACTTCTATTTAAGTGAAAAATAGGGACATTCCAATGATGTGCCAGGGAATATCAGGGATACTGACATGCCAGTTTTAATGTATGGCTTCATAATTACTGTTTATTTTGTGATCTGATATCTCTTTGATGATTGTTTAAGGTGGCAATTAAGTACTTATGGTTATCATTTGATGCTTGGTTTCATAATTACTGTTAATTAGTGCATCCATACCACTTTGAAAATTTTAACAAATGTTCAACAAATAACTAAATAGAAATTTGAATAAGTTATAAATAATATAATTCAAAACAGAAATTTGTTTTAATGAATTTTCATAGATCATCAATAATAATTTTGAAAAGCCTTGTCTCTCTCTCTCTCTCTCTCTCTCTCTCAGAGTAGACAAATAGAAATTTATATTTAATGTTTATAGTTCAACAGTTAAAAAATAAAAATCTCTCAGTCTTTCTGTACACCACCTTTCATTTTAGAGAAAAAAATTATAAATACAAATTCAAAATACAAATTTATGTCTATGTATAATATTGGCAATGTTTTTGAGAAATCTCTTTTTTCTCTCTCTTCCCGCTCTATCAAAGAGTATAAAAATGAATTAGAATTATAAAATAGGAATTGATGTCTCATGTCTTTAGTTCATGCATGAATATATTTTTGAAAATGTATACCCCTCTCTCTCTCTCTCTCTCGATTGAAAAGCAGATGAATTAAATTAATTGAAAAAATAATAATTCAAAATAGAAAACTGTGTTTAATGTTTATAGCTCATCAGTATTAATTTTGTAAATACATCTCTCTTAAATGCTGCATGAAGTCATTGTTTCTAACTTGTTAGTAAGCTAATTAAATAATAGTGTTTCATTGGTATTTTCTCAATATGTTGGACATTTTCTTTTTTAAATTGGGCATCTTTCTAACTATTGTCCTAGCACCCTTCTTGTGGCAGTAAAATCTATGCAATGCATGAAAATTTTACCAGCAGTTACGATTAATTTAGAAATAAAATTGATTTTCTATAATAAGTCAACTACTAAAGTTTATAGAATGATGCTACTTTACTTTGGTCAAAAGGCTTTCTACATGTATTGCATTTTAATTGTTATAAGTTGACATATGCTTAAGTTGCCTATTTGAAGATTTCTATACACTCTGCGTAAGAGTGCATACACTTTGATAGAGAGGGAAGAGAGAGAAAGAATAGATTTTTCAAAAACATTACTAATATTACACATAGAAACAAAATGTATTCCCTATGTCAAGTAGCAAAAATGGCTAACTCGTTCCATGCCAAAATCTCCAAAAATGTTAACAATGTGCGCAACTTCGTAAGAGCTGTGCTTATGCAGAGTGTATACAGCACGGATCTAAGAACGAAGTCTGATTTTAATTAGATTGGTAATTTAAGGTAACCATTTTGATTTATTTTCTTTTTCCTCCTCAAGTCAAAATTCACTTTTTTTTTTTAGGAAGTAGATAAAGAGAATGACAACAAAGAAGTGGAGGAAGGTGGGAATGATTTCAGTGTGGATGTGGATGAAGAGTTACAGAACGAACTCTGTGAACTATGGGACATGTCCATGAACTCAGTAAGTGGAATGGCAGAATTCATGTGAATGTAAAAGATACAGGAGTCTGATTTTGTTCATGTGAAGTCTCGATCTTCTATGATACAATGAAAATGTCCTTACACGAGAACATAATGTTTAGATTACGTGTAAGCAGGGACCTATACACTAGTATAGTGTATATGCCCCAGATATGTTACTTATCTTCCATTTATGTTTCTGATATTATACAATTTTAAAAGTATTTGTCATTGCATAGGGTTACTTATCAGGCACAGCTGTATGTATTTCAAATAAGTGTCCTTAATTTGTTCTTATTCCTTCTAATATCTGTACAGGAAGTGGTCCAATTCCTCCATGAATTCAAAGCTATTGATATATTTGTTGGGGTTATTGGCAAATCAAAAGCTCCCAGAGTCACAGTAAGTGTTAGATATTCAGTTTTCCAGTTTTATTATACCTCTACTGTTATTACTCTATACAAAATTAATACCATAAAACTGTCTATATCCCTGAGAAGATACCATTTCCCTCATCTGAGGACTACTCCATGAAAAATCAGAGCTACTCCCTGGGACTACTCCCTCATGAATATTTATTAATAATTTTAACCAATTAAAATGAATAGTGGGCAGAGCGTTCAAGGAATCTCAAGTCTGTGACATTATGTTATTAGCAATGCAACTATGACATCAAAACTTTTCGACATGCGATGTCAAAATCAAACTGGAATTCTATTAAAATGAAAACGATAATTCGAAATGTCAGTGAAATTATTATGTATATTTTTTAATAATTTTATTTTCCTCGGTATTGATGTATTAGTTATCTTACAATATTTTGAATCACATGCATTTGTGATTATTTAAATTCCTCTATATTGTTTCAAAAATGTCTGAGTCTCTAGTTTAATAAATCTCCTATGATTGTTTGGGTATAATAAAAAAGTTATGGAATGGGTACTCGGGAAATATCAAATTTATTGTTCCCCACGGCAGGAAACTATTTCCCTCAGCAGCTTCGCCACCTCGGGAAATAGTTTCTTCCCTTGGGGAACCATAAATTTGCCATTTCCCTCATACCCATTCCGTAACTGTATAATATTGCCATTACTGAGGAGTAATTATGATGACAGAGGAAAAAAAACGTATTTATCCTATTGAGGGATATATAAAATTTAGGAAGTATAATCAGATTTTAGGAAAAATATATCTTTTCTTGATGATGTTTTGAATGAATTTCTTTTTTGCCACTGGGTTTAAAGTCTAAAATTTAGTCTTTATGTGAATTTTAAATGTTCTCTTCTGACAGGAAATTTGTGTAGGAATCTTGGGAAATATGGCATGTGATGAGACAGTTTGTGTGACAATGTCAGAAAATGAAAAAGTTAGGTAAGCTTCATGTTCATATTCACTACATGAACTAATGATTATACATGTAATAATAATGGTATTGAAAATACTGATATAATGATTAAATTCTTTTAGGAGTATGGCCTTGCTGTTGTTGGACAATTCTGATCCTCAGACATTGAATGAAACAACCAGGTATGAATTGATAAAGCTTGAATTGCTCTTGGGAGAAAAATGTCTAGTTTACGAGTACATTGTATTTAAGAATGACATAACTCTCTGACAAATGTCCATTATGAAGTTACTTTGAGTATACAAAAATGTATTAATATTAAATGACGAATGTTTCAGATTTCTGTACACAAGTCTTTCTAATCCTGCTGCCAGAGGAGCATGGATTGAGGCTATCACTCAATCAGAAAACATCCAGGACCACATTAACTTCATCTTCCAGAGTTCCACAAATTGTATTCAATATTTCTTCTGATTCTTAATGAATACTAGTATTCAGATGATATGTTTTAGAATAATTCATTACTAACCAAAGGTTAATGATTGTTATGTGTATATTTAATGAAAAGTCAAATCAAATCATGGCATTTATGTATTACGGTAAAACATTGTGTGGAATTGTTATACTGAGGTATTTTTCCCTGAACAGGCAGTGTTCTTTGTCATTTGCTTACACTGTGCCACTGTTGTAGGTGATTTGTTACACAACACGGCTGAGTTTTTGGATGTTTTACTCGATGTCGATGAGGAGCTTTGTGAGAAGTGGGCCACACCCCTCCTTATTCAGTCCATGCTGGAGGCAATCAAACAGATCGGGTTAGAGATCCTTTGCTTCTTCTGTAGATGCTTCCGAGGGGAAATTCATATTAGCAAAAGTGGTCTAATAAATTCATTGAATTGTAGATGAATCATGGAAAAAATACAGTAATTTCTGAAGGTTGTCAGAGAACATAAAGCAAATACATGTAGAATCATAAAATGTTTAAAGCTGGATATTTAAGTCTGGAATATTTATTCCTTGTTATTTCGAAAGATATTGGAAACACATTTTGCTTACTAACTTACTTCACTGTCCTTGTTTGGATTCAGGTGCAAACACAGTGACGTCCTGGAAACCTACTTACATATTTTCCAGCTGCTGTCCACTACAGAAACAGGAGTTGAATCTCTAGGTAAGATAAAGAACCATCTTGGCTCCTTTACTTTTAATAGATACAGGTATCCAAACTGAAAGTTACCAGGTGATATTGAAATGCTTCAAAAAGTAATAATACTTAAGTTTCATGAAAATTAACTGCAATACATGTATTTTGATTGTATGTTTTTCATTTGTTTTTGTTTTATGTGCAAATACGAGGGGTGATCAAAAAGTTCGCGAACTATCTCAGAGTCTGTATTTACGAAACCACAATTCAGATCAGAATGAAATTGGCACACGTATAGTGATACACATGTTCTATAAATAGCAGGTGTTATGAGATGTTTTGCTCCATGTTTGTGATGTTACAATGTGAAAATGATGTCAATATGTAGGTGACTTGTGAAAAAAATGGTTGACTCAGTCGTATTTGAGCAACAAACAGCTGTAAAGTTTAACCTATATCTTGGAAATTCCTTGGCAGTATCATGTAATAATTTGTACAAGGTTTATGAAGACAAAAGACTTGTCAAAAGTTTAATCATTAATTGGATTGATTGTTTAAGTGAAGAAAAGGAGATGGTTAAAAATGACATTTGTTCTGTTGCCCAGTGAAACAAGCTGGGAAAGAGATGTGCCCTTAGTTGAGCAATTTGTTATGAAGATCACCAAGTTACAGTAAAAAAAATAGTTGAATATCTTAACAATAATATAATTATTAAATCCCTAAAATATCATTTACTTTAGACTTTAAACATATCAGATATGATAAAAAGAAGGCGTCCATTCTTTATCCACAATGGATAAACGACGCTCCCAAGACAGAGGACTTGGGTTGTGATGGTCACCATGCAAATTTTGGGGGAAGGATATCCTTATCCACCCATCCTATTGCCAAGATTTGGCCATTTTTGACAAATGGACTGCTCTTGGTATAAAAAAATAACTTGCATGGTAAGAAATATAAGACTTGAAAAAATCTTTCAGCTTCTGTGAACAGAACACTACGGAGCATGTCACGTACGTGACTGCCTGGATCACGTGATTCGCACATGGAAAGAACGGTGGCAGATGTGCATTAAAATCGGAGAGGTCTTCTTTAAAAAATAATGAACATTGAAACCTAATTTTATTTCTTTTGTGGAAGTAATTCAATTAGTTCGAGAACTTTTTGATCACCCCTCGTAGTGTTGAATTTGATAGATTCTGACTGTTTGATATACCGGTACATATATTAGTGTGTAATCACAGTTACTTACTGTGTATAGTTGAGTGTGCTGATGGCTTATGCCCCCCGCTGATAAAGTACCTAGGAATACTCTGTGAAGATGAAATAGTTGGATTGGAGGGGAGAGAGGCAGCTATATCATCAGCTCTGTCTGTCCTTAATGTCATTTTTACTTCTCATGATGAAACGGCTGCCAGGCTTCTCAAAGGTAAATGAGCATTGATCAGAGTCTTCGTTGGAATTTGGCTTTAGATTACTGTATAGTGGGTTTCTTTATTGAGAGTAAAATTTTTGCATTTTGCTTGCTCAAAGGTATGCAAATAATTTTGGTAGAATTTTTTTTGGTGGACACAAAGTTCCCCGATGTTATAAAAGAGAGGAAATTTATTTTCTTGATTTAGGCAAGAGTTTGACCAAAAATCAAAACCAGATGAAAGATATATTGTTTAACAAAAGATTGATCAGTTATTTTTCTTTTATTTAGTACTAATGAGCAAGGGTGCAAATTTAGCGATTAAAATTTTAGCGGGCCTCTTCAAAACCGTTAAAATAAGCCAAAGTTAGCACCCCCAAAAAATTCCCGCTATACAGTATAAGTGACAATTAAAATTTCTGTCTCTGAGATAAGTACATGTACAAATGTTCACTTTGAATATGGATGTTGTAACACTGACTAAGCTGGAAGAGAATATAATTTTGAAATGGTAAAGAACTTTATGTACACTTAAATAAGACTTTCTCTTCTTAGATGAAAAGTTATTGAGGATCTTCCTGAAGATTTTGGAGCCATTGATGCCCTACATTCACCAAATTAATGCTGAAGAAAGTGTCAAAGAAACAGAAGTGGAAAAAGAGTCCTTGTCTGCTGAAGGAGACAAAAAAGACACTGAGGCACAGCCTTCATCCTCTGCTGATAACATCAGGACCAATGAAAAAGTGGCACAGAAATCAGAGGACGATGTGGCAGATGATGATGATGAAATGTCAGAGAAAACTAAAAGACATTTGATGATGCTTTATAGAATCCTTCAGGGATTTGCATATGATGTATTATTTTCCATTCACATGGTAAGTTTCAAGTCAGGAAGTGAGACATAAATTCAAACTAAATTTAAAATTCATGTACAGCACTTCTTTGACTAAAAGTATTACATACTTTTAGTCTCACCTGAGGTGCGTTATCTGTAAACTTCTTTCTTCTCCAGAACACCGGGCCACTTTAAACCAATCTTTCACAAAGCATCTTTGGGTGAAAAGGATTCAGATTTGCTCATATGAAGGGCCACACCCTCTTTCACGGAGAGATAATTAGGGATAATTATGTGGCATCTCAAAAATATTCTTCACAAGGACAACTGGATTTTGATTAGCAATATTTTTAAAAATGCAAGAATCACTAGTTAGTTTGTTCAGATCTTGACCCACAGGGGTAGGGTGGGGTCACAATAAGGGATCAAATTTTTAAATTGGAATATATATAAAAATAAAACAGAAAATCTTCTCAAAATTAGCAGGGCCATGATTGTTTGTAGATATGTTGTAATGACATTTTCAAAATCACCATAACATTGGCCTCTGAAAAAAAAACTTGAAAGATTGAGAACAACTATTCCAGTATTTTTATGCCCCCAGGGCATATTGCTTTGCTGCTGTCTGTCGGTTGGTATGTCGGTCCACCAACAGTTTCCGTTCATTTCCTTCGCAGAGGTTGCAGATACTGAAATGAAATTTGGTAAACAGATTTATCATAAGAATATCTAGGTCAAGTTCTGTTTTGGGTATGATCGAGCAATTTTTAAGAGAGTTATGCCCCTTGGACTTAGAAAAATTCCAATTATTTGCAGTTGCCATTCATTTTCTTCACAGAGGTTGCACATACTGAAATGAAATTTGGTATACAGATTTATCATAAAAATATCTAGGTCAAATTCTGTTTTGGTACAATAGAGCAATTTTTGACAGAGATATGCCCCTAGGACTTACAAAAATTCCAATTACCAGGGTATGGGGGGGGGGGCATAAGTGTTTCACAAACATCTCTTGTTCTTACAAATTTTCATGCCAATGGACCATATCACTTTAAGAGGTAGAAATGTAGAATAGCAATCCATTTTATCATTTTCAGTGTACACGTATGCTTTGCATACACAGCTGACCAGTTATAACCATAGACATTTGAATTCAGATGTACAAAAATTACTGTATACAACGAAATTTTTGCCCCTCTTTTATTTTCGCCCCTGTTGCCCTACCCACAAGTGAGCGAATATAAAATAGGGCAAATTCAAAGAACACAGTATAATTTCTTAAATAGAACTGTGACTAAGCAAATTTGAAATGGGGCAAAATTGTTTGCAAGTGTGAAAGGGTGAAAATAACACACATAGCGAAAATAACCCTGTATGCAGTACTTTCTTTGCATTGTAAAGACTATGGTGGAGTTTCTGAGCATTCCTATATTTATTGGTTTACAAAAAAATAACACAGTGATCAACTGTATTCAATGTTACAGGCCATGACCGAGGAGGAAGAGAGTTTGTCGTCTGAGATGAAATACAAAAATCTCTTTAGCTACCTGAATGAATCAGTCAGCAGACTTCGTCTGAATTACTTCATAACAGCACTGAAGGACTCAGCAAATGAATCATTTAATCCTATAGATACCTTAAAAACTGCAGCAAACAAGCTCAAACTTGATAGACTTGGTAGAATCATTCAGTCCGTCTTAGAAGGACGCTGTGTGAGCAGAGAAAATTCTGATGGAAATGGAACCTAATGATTATACCAGCAGATTTAAAAATCGTGTACATCTTTTATGTCATCATTGATTCATAATATAAAAATTAAATATTAAAGTTTTATTGGTGCAGGAGTGGTTGTTATTTCAGCACATTTATACATCCTCAAGTTTGTTTGGCATCTGTCCATTCAATGTTTCAATTTCTGATCTTTAAAAAACACTGGGCCTAATTTAACGAAACTTGACCTGATAAAGAAGATTCAAGATTTTTAACGTGAAGGAAATGCATCTTCCTTATGTAGGGGAGATAACTAAGAATTTATGATGAGGGATTGTCAACAAATGATAGCTTATCTCCATCCTGGAGCCTGAACTTTATAACGTTTAAAAATAGAATTTGTCTGCTAGATATCCAGGGTCAATCAACATAAATGCAATTTTTATTTGTAATTAGTAGATGTCCAGAAGTACAGAAAATTTTGGAAAACTGCACTAAATCTTGATGGATTGAACCTACCAGTGTGGGTCCTAGAGTCTTTTTGTATCCCTTACAAAACCAATTCAGCAAAACATGCTTATAAGTGACAGGGATGGATGATCGGGCTTTGTTATAAGCGTCATTTTTTATATCCCTTCAGTTTACAACTGTTAAAATCATGGGGAATGAAAATCACTTCACTGTAAGCGTCAATTCATTATAAGCATGTTCGCCTTAAACATGTTTTACTGTTCATATCAAAATTGCTTGACATTCATTGTTTCTGAGGAAAAGCTGAAAATCTTAAAAAATTCATATCCATAGTACACATGGCACAACGACAAATGGAATAGCAGTCAAAATGACTTGGGTGACTTGAAAATTGGGTAGGACTTTTTAGAAACCTTGTCTAGAACCACTGTGAAATGACCAGCTTTTTCAAATAAAGATATATGTTATCAGTGCCAATTTCATTCAGTATACTTCAATCATTTTGTAGTGGTTTTGGTGATATGGACCAAGGACATCGGCTTTGATAGCTCAGTGGTTAGAGCACTTGACTATAATGCAAGGGGTCTTGTGTTTGATTCCCAGTCTAGCCACAAACTTTCTCCTTTCCTTACAAATTTTTGCCATTGAAATAATGGAATGATAATGAACAGAAACTGCATTCTTGCTTTTAATTGCAAAAGTTCAGTCACAATTTTAACTTCCTCCTTGCTGTTACAGATAGAGCAATAGAGATAATTTATGACACAATTGTAATCATTAAACAATCATACATGTAACATAGTAAGGTTGTGTATTATTCATTATACGCTTAACTCAATTGCAAGGCTGACACAGAAGTAAATACAGGTATTATGCTTTGTCAATATTTCAAGCAATATGATCCATAATACAATGATGAAAACTTGAACAAAAAGTAATCTGTTAATCCTGAAAAGTATTATAAAATTAAAAAAAAAAATAAGTAATGATGATTACAGAATTTTCACTTGATAAAGTTCTAGAACACATGAACAATGAATTACTGTCTTCGCAAGAGTAACGTAAACTGATTGTGTCAATGTATAATTATGAAAGATGACAACCAGTCAAAATGAAACATGACAACCTTGATGTACATGAAAATTGAAAATTGCCGTTGCAGACCCTTATACACTGAAAGTTTCTGTATACATTACTATAAATTTACTTGCTTATATCTACCATCTACATAGAGTTCCTTTTAACCATAATGTAGTTTTTGTAAGCATAATTTTTTTCCTTAATTTCAAAGAAGTGCATATGTATTTGACAGTGTAAACCCCTGAAACAGTTTTCTTTAAATTATACATATAATTTTTTTTACAACATTTCATAGGTGTTTAGAGAATACAAATGAAATGTGTTGTTCAAAGAAAGTGGCCAAGAATTCAGTGTAAATGATTAGGAAAACCAAAAACAATGTAGACCTAGTTTGTTTTTATCCTGGGACACCCCAAAAAATTAATATATGTACTGAATATTGGAAAACTTTTCATCACTAAAAAATTCAGAGGATGTAATGCTATCAAACATTAGAAGATAAAATCTAAGGACTGACTAAGGTTTCACAGTACCAGAAAGGCATGAAAATGAAGTAAGAATGAAAATGAGTAGAATGTGTGGTAAGCATAGGACTTGCATATCATAAAAGATTGATGGAGCATTGTCATGGCCCATTACCAACAGGGCTAAACATAATTACTGCTAGAGTATTAAGTACATTAAAGTCAATAGTCAAACGTGAATTACGGAAGTAATTTTTAACATGAATAATCAAAGCATACATTCCTTGGAGTAGTCTCCTTTAATAAAGAGTTAATAAAGTATAGGAGGAGGAGACATGATCCAAAAAAATCTAATAATTTGTTGCCAGACACCAAGCCCATCCTCAGAAAAAGTTGGGAAATTCCTCAATTTCTTTTCCCTTCTCCTTCCTTACAAATAGATTTCGAACTAATCTAAAATAAAAACCCTCTATCAGAACTATCAATTCAGTTTAAAATTCTGCATGATTTTTGAAAAAAATTATATAGAAGTATTTTCCTGTCTAATCAAATTATCATTCACATGATTAAATAACTCAGTTACATATCTACAACACATGTATACAACACATGTATACAACACTTGTATACAACACACACATATGCAATTAATGAGATCAAAAACATCACAACTGTATTTCAAATATCACTATTTCAGCTGCAATGTATGTAATAATAAGCACCTTTTTGAAACTTTAATATATCAATAAAAGCAATATGGCAAATACAAGTCCAGCTTTCCAAAGCTCAAAGAAAATTATTCTGACACTTGTTCAACAGGTTTTTCAAACACTCTGTACAACCAAATGAATGTAAGACAGCTACTTTTCTGCATATTATCCCAATGAAGTCAGATTAAAATCCTTGGAACTTTACTCTTGCCAATACAAACCAAAACAATGTAAACAAAAAATGGGACTTTCTTCAACTAAAACACTTGTAAAACTGAAAACCCTGTAATTAATGGTAAGGTTTTAAATTGCTATATCCCTCTCGCTGTTCAGGGTCTGTGAATCTTCCCCGATTGGTTCTCTGGTCTCTGCATCACAAATCGACATTTAATTCTCTTCAGTCTCTGTTTAGCTGCCTCGAAGGAAGACTGAAGTCCTAATGTTGACTCATAAAACATGGTGGCCTTATCCCACTGACCCTGAAGGAAACAATCGTACAATGAAATTCATGAGACTGTGTATCTTAAGTAATTGAAGAACAAAATTCATATTGGGAGACGATTTCATTAATACTTGAATTTTAGGACCTGTTTAACTTTAATATATGTATTTAATTATGTTAAAAATATTGTGCAAGTTTCAAATAGCCTCATCTCAGCTGTTACTACCATAGGCACTTGGTTTCAGGATGGTGAATTTTGTGTATTATGTCTTTTTCTATGTCTGTCTAATATTCTCAGAATATATTTATTTATAACAAACTACCTGAGTAACAAGTCTACCTAAGTCTAATAATTTTGGTCAAAAAGAAGTGCAATAATAAACTAGTAGACTAATTGTTCTCGAACAATTAGAGGTCTTTCCACCTTCTTCGAATTTCATATATTTTTCATATTTAACTCTATAAAGTTAATTTTTATTCAAATAGAATCCATAAATGGCTTGAAAGTTAGAAAAAATGAAAATTTTAAAAATTTTGAGATGACCTTGACCTTTGACCTTGAACAAATATTCAAGGTCAAAGGTCAAGGGTCACATTGCACTTGACCCCATGCTTCTACAACTTTTAGTTTTAAAGTTATAAGGTTTAATAGTAAGCATGAAGACGTTAAAGGGCGATAACTCATATAAGGGGTCATCGGATACTTTCGCACTGAATAGATTGAAGTTGTGTCTAAAGACCCTGAAGACATTAGTGAAGGTTTTGTGTCTCTACGGTTTACGGTTTTGGAGGAGTAGGGATAACAAGGTTTTCAGTAAAAGGGGCAATAACTCTCAAAGGGATAAATCTAAGGGGACAAGTATGAAATCTTTGAAATAGTTTTAAGAGGACATATTAATGTTACAAAGATACTTAGTATATATTGAAAGACAAAAGAGATATAAAAAGAGCTTAATTTCTCATATTTTGAATGACCTTGACCTTTGACCTTGACTTAAATTTCAAGGTCTGAGGTCAAAGAATCTTATCCAGTTGGTTTCATGTCTCTACGACTTATCGTTTTGAAAAAAAATTATTATTTGTAAACTTCAAAAACTTTCAGGGGCAATAACTCATAAAAGGGGTCCACGAATACTTTCGCAATGAAAAGATTGAAGAGTCCCCTCAATTAGTCGAAGACATTGGTGAAGGTTCCGTACCTCTACGGTTTACGGTTTCGAAGGAGTAGCGATAACAAGCATATATTGCCAAAGGGGTAATAACTCTTGGAGGGGTCAAAGTTCATATACGCAGGGTCAACTGTAAAAATCTTTTAAAGAGTACATTCTTATAGACTATAAATCTTTTCGATAGATCTTGAAACATAGAATCACATCAGGGGGTGGAAAAATAATAATAATAACTAGTAGACTAATTGTTCTAGAACAATTAGAGGTCTTTCCACCTTCTTTAAATTTCATATATTCTTCACATTTAACTCTCTACTGTTTATTTTTATACAGGAGAAACCAGAGATGGCTTGAGAGATGGAAAATATTAAAATTTTAGAAATTTGGAAATGACCTTGACCTTTGACCTTGAACAAATATTCAAGGTCAAAGGTCAAGGGTCACATTGCACTTAACCCCATCCTTCTACGACTTTTAGTTTTAAAGTTATAAGGTTTAATAGTAAGCGCAAAGACGTTAAAGGGCAATAACTCATAAGGGGTCAGCAGATCCTTTTGCACTAATAGACTGAAGTTGTGACTAAAGACCCTGAAGACATTAGTGAAGGTTTCGTGTCTCTGCGATTTACGGTTTAGGAGAAGTAGCGATAACAAGGTTTTTCGCACAAGGGGCAATAACTTTCAAAGGGGTTAAGCTTAGGGGACAAGAATGAAATCTTTGAGATAGATTTAAGAGTACATATTAATGATGCAAAGACCAGTAGTATATATTGAAAGACAAAAGAGCTGTAAAAAGAGCTTAATTTCTCATTTTTGGAATGACCTTGACCTTTGACCTTTACATATATTTTTAGGTCAAAGGTCAATGAATCTTATGCAGTTGGTCCCATGTCTCTACGACTTATCGTTTTGAAAATTTTTCATTATTCATAAATATCAAAGACTTTCAGGGGCAATAACTCATAAAAGGGGTGCACGAATACTTTCGCAATGAAAAGATTGAAGAGTCCCCTCAATTAGTCGAAGACATTGGTGAAGGTTCCATACCTCTACGGTTTACGGTTTCGAAGGAGTAGCGATAACAAGGTTTTATTGCGAAAGGGGTTGTAACTCCTTAAGAGGTCAAAGTTCATACACGCAGGGTCAACTACAAAAATCTTTTAAAGAGTACATTCTTATAGACTATAAATCTTTTCGATATATCTTGAAACATAGAATCACATCAGGGGGTGGAAAAATAATAATAATAATAATAATAATAATAATAAACAGAAGAATATCAATAGGTCTTTCCACAGAAAGGTGGAAAGACCTAACTAGTAGACTAATTGTTCTCGAACAATTAGAGGTCTTTCCACCTTCTTTAAATTTCATATATTTTTCATACTTTACTCTCTGAAGTTAATTTTTTTAGAAAAAGAATCCATAAATGGCTTAAAAGATAGAAAAAATGAAAATTTAAAAATTTTGAAATGACCTTGACCTTTGACCTTGAATATTTGTTCAAGGTCAAAGATCAAGGGTCAAATTGCACTTGACCCCATGCTTCTATGACTTTTAGTTTTAAAGTTATAAGGTTTAATAGTAAGCGCATAGACGTTAAAGGGCGATAACTAATATAAGGGGTCATCGGATACTTTCGCACTGAATAGATTGAAGTTGTGTCTAAAGACCCTGAAGACATTGGTGAAGGTTTTGTGTCTCTATGATTTTCAGTTTTGGAGGAGTAGCGATAACAAGGTTTTCAGTAAAAGGGGCAATAACTCTTAAAGGGGTAAATCTTAGGGGAGAAGCATGAAATATTTGAAATAGTTTTAAGAGGACATATTAATGATGCAAAGATACTTAGTATACATTGAAAGACAAAAGAGATATAAAAAGAGCTTAATTTCTCATATTTTGAATGACCTTGACCTTTGACCTTGACATAAATTTCAAGGTCTGAGGTCAAAGAATCTTATCCAGTTGGTTTCATGTCTCTACAACTTATCGTTTTGAAAAAAAATTATTATTTGTAAACTTCAAAAACTTTCAGGGGCAATAACTCATAAAAGGGGTTGACGAATACTTTCACAATGAAAAGATTGAAGAGTCTCCTCAATTACTCGAAGACATTGGTGAAGGTTTCGTACCTCTACAGTTTACGGTTTCGAAGGAGTAGCGATAACAAGCTTTTATTGCAAAAGGGGTAATAACTCTTAGAGGGGTCAAAGTTCATATACGCAGGGTCAACTGTAAAAATCTTTTAAAGAGTACATTCTTATAGACTATAAATCTTTTCGATAGATCTTGAAACTCAAAATCACACGGCGGAAAAATAATAAAAAATAATAATAATAAGAAACAGAAGAATATCAATAGGTCTTTCCACAGAAAGGTGGAAAGACCTAATAATAATAAACAGAAGAATATCAATAGGTCTTTCCACAGAAAGGTGGAAAGACCTAATTACAAATACCATGATGGAGAAAGTTTTGTCAGAGGATTAAAAATGAATTAAAGGAACATTATACATGGGTAATTATATATTCCTTACTTACTTTTGCTGCATACAGATTGGCCATTGTGAAATGGCTGACTACTAGTTTGACTGGTACATCTAGGGCCATGTTTGTAGCCACAATGGCATCATTCAAATAGCCAGACCTGTGTAAGATGTTGGCAACACTTATCAAAGCAGTATCCTGTAATAAAAAAAAACATTGTGTTTAGTACACATAATTAAGTACCATGGTCACTGAAAACTGGTATTATACACCTGGCATTATACACCTCACTACAATATTGCGGCAAAGGAAATGTGTATGCTACAGGTACATCAATGTATTTACCGGTAGTGCTTAGCAAGGTATGAAATACTACAGTTAAAATTTGTCAACTTGAACATTAATATAATGAAGACAAATTCTGATCTCAGTATGTCATGTTGAGCTTTTCTGATAGTCTCACCATATCTGAAATATTAACCTTTGACTGCATGCGTAATTTATGTTAAAATGTTGGTCCTGTTGTTTCTCAATAATGATCTACCTGTACATCCTTTGGGGCTGTCGTCAGAGCCAGCCGGAGACAGTCTATGGCACGTTTAGCATCCCCCTCCACTCTCCAATATAAAGCTGCCGTACTAGCCAGTACCCAAGATGTCATGTTCTGAAATATAAAATGTCAGTGAAATATTTAAGACATTTTAAAATCAGACTTTCAGTATCTTAATAATTGATTTACAAATCCTGAGTGTACTGTAATACTGTAATAAACTTTCTGTCTTGCATTACTTTGTATACAAATTAAAATTAATAAAAAGAAGATGTAATTACTATATTCTACAGTATACCGGTACATCCTTGCTACATGTTTAGTCTCATTTTCAGTTATGTATAATTAATCCCATTTATACATACAATTAGTTTTTGTAATTCTGGACCCCATAACTTTACAATTACAATGAACAGTAATTATACTTTTTTTAAAGCCTGTGCGATCCTTGTCCCCATAACCTCCACTGGTTGTTTCTCACCCCCCAGTTTCTGCAAGACCTCCTTGAGTACACTCTCAGGGTGATAGTTAAGATGGAGCTTGTTCACGATCCCGGGTAACATGTCCAGTTCTAGGACACTGTAGAAGTCTGTCATACAGATGGGCTCCTCCAGGTGTCTCTTGATCACAGTCTCAAAATCTATATGCTTCCTCAAACTGTGTAGAAATTATCAAGTAATTCTTAAGACATAAAAGGATATTCCTGTACTGTTCTGTCTTATTTCCCCAAAACCTTACTCTTACAGCTGTTTTGTTTATCTCACTGAATGATTATGATATCTTAGTCATCAGTACATGTAAATGACTCTATGTCATTTGCAAATGTTGTTCAGTTATAGTTTCACATTAAAATTTTCATATGTAGTTGAATTTCAGTAAGCTACAGTTCACACTTTTTTTTTGGGAGGACTCAATGACATATATTTTAAAACCTGATGCATTGTATACAGCATTCTAATTTATAACTATCACAAAAATATTAATTTTCTAAGACAGAAAATACATGATTGCTCTAATGGTTCTTCACTACAGCCCAAAAAATTTTGAATACACTTAAATATGTTTGCATGTATATCAAAAAAGAATTTGAATTTCAAGAGGAAATGAAGTTAATGAATGTTGCCAACACTCAACATTGACATGAGGACAACAACATGAGAACTTACTCTACGCCTTTAGCAGACACACAAAGGAAAGTGCTGGTGAACTCAGTAAAATCCATTTTAGGCATATTCTGGCATTCCTCTAGGGAAGGCATGGCAATATGGTACCTCCTACCAATGTGGTGTGTGGTATCTATGAGTAATCAAGTTTTAAAGAAATAAAGTTGAGAGGTGAAATTTACTTGTAAGTGCTGGAAGATCTACACATTAAATCAAAATATTTCAATTTTCAAGTACATGTATACCATATAAGTGGAAATTTTAGTGAGACGCAAATTTATCGATTTATCCCCAAATATTGGTATATATTTTCAGTAAAAAGTAATTTTAGCAACTTTATAATGTCAGGAGATATAGCTACAAAAAAGAATAGGGGAATAAATTGTTAGTGATATACAATTTTAGTGATCTCAGATCCCTCGCTAATAATGCCAAAATTGAATCCTCGCTAAAATTTCTGCTCATACGGTATTTGATACACAAACCTAAAAAATTAATATTTCAAGGTTGCATACAATTTCAAAGTTTTGCTTATAATATACTTCTAGTGACTGAACAAAATGCCAAAAAATATCAGTGAAAATGACTATTCAATAGAATTACCTGGTAATTCGCTGTCTGGCAGCTGTTCCACCGGGGCAATCTCTTGTTCCTTCCCATCAGACACGTCTGGTTTGTTGGGGTTTGCATCCTCACTACCCCAGGTCAAGGTCACTTTTTCAATCTTCTCTACCACTGGGCCTTTCGGGGGTTTGACATCAGATGAAGCAGTTTCAGAACAGCTACAACTCTGTGTTTTTCCTGAACACTTGGACTGGTGTTTTGGGTCATTTTGGGCATTTAGGTGCTCCATCAGAATAAGCTCTACTTGCTCATAGTCGATTTTGTTGGTAATGATGCTGTGCAACTAGATAAAAAAATATGTAAGATACTGATCATTTCCGAAAACTAAGTCTGCCTTCATTACATTTTTTTAAGGCTAGAATAATGACTGAATAGCACATTTATCTGAAACTGAGAGAAACAGGATGTATAAATTTTATACAAATCTAAACATATACATAATACATTATTCAGCTTCATTTACTTAAATTCACAGAAATCCAATATTTCATACTCATATACTGAATCAGGAAAATTATCCCAAGAGCCAGCCACACAACAAAGCTATCTGGATTATTTCAGCTAATTAACTCATGTCACTTCCACACTGGGTTCAGTTAACCCAGAGCAGTTATTCAATCCAGAGTTGATTGTGACATCAGTTGATAACGTTAAGCTAACCATCAACCAACAATAAGAATTGCAGCGTGGGCATAATTAACATATGGATTAAAAACTGGGAGTTAATCTGGATTCATTTGTTCTGGATTACCTTAACCCAGTGTAGACCAGCCCTAAAGATTTTTTTAAATATAAAATCTCATCATTTTGCTCAAACTGCTGACAACAACAACATAATTTTTAGCTGTAAACACAACATCAACATTTAGTGAGAAATGAAAACATGTACATCATCAAACTTTGGGGAGATATAATCTATCATAATCAGAGAATAAGAAATTTCCATATACAGGGTACATGAGCAGAAGAAAACACATTGCAATGCACTCTCTAAATTTAGACACAACAATTGCTATTGCATTGGAAATTCAATTCTAAAATTACCCATGCAAATGAAAATCTTAGGACATCAACAAAAAAGGATCTTTTATTGTTTCTGGGAAGCAACATTCATTCAAGTTGAAATTTAAAAAAGAGATACACAAGAACAACATCATACAACAGCTAGATTACCTCGGATATCAAGATTGTTCATATGTTGTACTATCTGGCTACCAGTAATATCTACCCCTGGTCATCATTACCTAATATCTTTTAAACTCAGAATACTCTTCCACATGTTTAATTCTATGTTTTAAAGCAGCCTTTTCTTGCAATTCACTGAATACCAAGATTCAAGTGTACAAAATTATTAGAATTTGATAAAAAATTAATTCATATGTTTAAAAATATCCTAGTTTATTCTCAATTGGGCAAACTTCAGTCTGCTGTGTAAAAGCATGTATACATGTATACAGATTTTCAAAAACTCATGACCACTTCAGTTCTGGAATGTTTTATTCATTTTTTTCTTTATATATACAGTATCAAATAACATTTTGAGCAACTCTGATATGAAAGGAAAAAAAAATTCTAAGAAAAACTACATGTGTAAAAAGCACATAGAATTTTGTTTACGAAATAACCATAAGCTTAGTGAAAAAAAATTGATCTACAGCAATTAATAGTATTGTACAAGCATTCACTTTTGACCACAATCAGAACTTTTAATATTTTCCTCTTGAAAAGAGTATGAGATTATCAGTTGATTAGTCTGCTGTCTTAATTTTCCTAGTTTTCAAGGAAAAATAACTGTTCATTTCTTATACAGAAAGAAACACTAGTGATTTGAAAAAGGCAAATTCTTATTACACCTGATTCCTGCAGATTACACCCCAAATATGCCCATCTTCTTTATAAAAACAATTATTTTCTCATGCTAGTATATCTTTGGCTGGGTTGACAACTTTTAATTACTAGCAGTCAGCCCTGCATGTCTAGTTAATTTTACGGTAATTAAGTTTCAAACACTGCTAAAAGACTACACGGTCACCGAATAAATACCTATGAATACTTATTGCTAAAGTGGGTCAACATCCCCAAACCATATTTGTGTTTTTACCAATTTTGGACCTTTGAATTTTATCTTGATCTTCAAAAGATTGTGATCCAAATCACTCTTAGTTAATACCTCTCATAAAAAGATTACAATTCATTTAAAAAAAAACAAACTACAATGCTGATATGTGAACTGGACATTCTTTATAAACTTTACCTGAATTTACATAGAAATATAAATACTATTTCATTTTAAATAGAACTTTAAAAAATAAATATAAATATAAACAGTAAACAAATGTGTAAGTAAAGTGAAATTTTTAAACTTCACAGCCTTTAAGATGTTCAATTTTTATGGAAAAAATGAACAGTGTGTTTGTAGATTACATCTATCTTGTTTTAAATCAATGAAGCAAATAGGATTCAATAATAAAATAATTTGGAGCTGCCATCATGGCATATTTCTACAGTGTATTCATGTGGATGGAGAATTTAAAGTACATGTACAAGCTTTCTAATATATTTTTAACATATGTAAAATGATGCTATGTTGTTGAAGCACACTGTATATTCTAAAGGCAAACGTAGGTCAGGGGCTGACAAATCCCACTGCCCGATGCCCGGGGCTAGTGAATTTTAAGAGAGGGCAAGTGAAATTTTATCAACAACTTGCCCATGGGCAAGTGACTTAAAAAATAAAATAAATATTTAAGTCATAGATTTAATATTGGGCTCAGGGGATTGCATGTTCTACTCAGTATTTTTCTTCCTATTTTTTTGAAATATATATAAATACTGTAACAGTATTAATTTATGGTTGGGCAAGCAAAAATTCAGGTTGGGCAAGTGAATTTTCACCATACACTTGCCCTTGGACAAGTGCCTAAAAATCTATTTGTCAGCCCTGCGTAGGTACCGTAATCAAATATTACAAAGCTTACTTTAAAAAATGTTATCTACAAGTTAACTGAAGGCAAATAAAGTTCTGGTAGTGTGCTTCCCTAGATGCAACTTTCCTGCAAATTTGATTCCTGAAGGCTTTGTCATTCTTTAGGAATGGCTCTGAAAACTTCAAAACCCTGAAATATAGGTCAAGTGCAGCACCTGAAGCAGGTTTGGTAGTGTGCATCCCTAGATGATTTATCCCTGCAAGTTTGGTCAGCGAAAGCTTTTTATTAATATTTAAATGGATCTGCTCCAAAAACTTAAACATGCTCAATCATCCAGAAAAAGTAGGTCAGATAAAGCATATCTTGTAGTGTGCATCCCTAGGTGCATTATCCATGCAAATGTGGTCACTATAGGGCTTATATAGTTACTTGGGAATTGACCTGCTCCAAAAAGTTAAGCCTGTCACTCATCCAGAAAATGTTGGTCAGACCCAACACCTGATGCATGCCTGGTAGTCACAGTGCATCCCTAGATGCATCATCCATTTGAGTTTGGTCCAGATATGGCTTATAGTTACTTGGGAATGGACTTGGTCATAAAACTTAATTTAACCTGGACCAATGCCAATGCCAACACCAGGGTTATAGCATAAGAAATAAAGAAAATGAAGAGAAAGTTACTACAGTCAAACCTCGTTATCTCGAACTCGATGGGACCATGAAGAAATTTCGAGATATCCCAGGATTCAAGCTTTCGAGGGTAAAATACTTAAAGAATAATTAGTTGGGACTTCCAAATCACTTCAACGTATCCATGGTATTCGAGATATCAGTGTTAGAGATACTGAAGTTCAACTGTAATTACTGAACAGATTTTTGTCATTACATCACGCTGTTCTTTAAAGAAAGTACATATTATTCATCTTAATATTTTTAAAACCTAAGTAGACCACTATAACCCTTCAAATATGTATAATAAAGGTCAGTTGAATTATTTTGAAAAACCACAAAATACCAAAATTGAAGAGAAAAAAAAAAGCATTAAAAAGCTCTTTTTAAGGGTAAAAAATACTTATATCTCTTGATAAAAATGTTATTCAATTCTAATTTCTTGTAAGATTGTTAACACGTAATGAACAGTTCTGTTTCATCTGTTCTGAAGAGCATCAAAGTGAGTTTATATAGAGCAAGTGTTAATAATACCAAGTGTCCTCAAATTATTATGGATGCTGAAAAATAAAACAGTAATTTGTAAATATTTAAGGAATGAAATCAAAAGCTACCCAAGATATACTGTTTAACCTGAACTGGGACAGTTTATGTTTTATAAACTGTGAAGTGGTTTATAAAAAAGCATAAACTGTTCCAACCCAGGTTAAACAAGTATAACTTGGGTAGCTACTGAATTTATTCCTTAAAATAACATTTTCTATCATAAAGTACAAAAAAAGGACAATTTTTCTTCAAAAATGACTTTAAATTGTACATAATTTAAATGAAATGCCAAGTGGATTGATACTTTTTTGTGTAAGACAAGACAGAGTATACAACGTAAACTAATTATTCTATCCAATCAAATGGCCTGTTCAACTAGAATTGAGTTACATGTATATCTGCTTCTAAAGAAATTGACTTTTATGATATAAACTGGTAAACTGAGTTTTTTTATGTTGCTTCTCTTCCCCCCCCCCCCCCCCCCCCCCAAGTATAAAAGTATATCTTCAATATTAAATTTATTGAGACATGCAATGAATTCTACAAGCTTAGCAAATTTATTAATTTAGCATAATGCAGCTAAATAATTTGATCATTTTTTTTAGCTTGACAGGAAAAAACATGAGAGGCCCATAGGCCACATTAATTCTTACTTAAGTTCCTGATTCCCTTCAAAAACTATTCATTGTAAATTAATGAAAAGTAAAGCATGATTTGATCAAGTTTGAAAATACATCTTAATTTATGACTCTAAGCAAATAAAAGCCTTTCTTTTGATTTTAAAATAAAGATATTTTAATAAAGATATTTTAAGGAAGATTTTCCTATAAAAATTATGCACCTTTTGTACCAAGAAGCATAAGCTTCGAAAGTTTCTCCATTTCAAAGTTTATGTCCCAAACAAAAATTTTACATCTCTGAACTCACTGACCTTTATTTTGTTAAAATGACCTTTATTTAGGATCTTTATTCCTTTTTTTTTTTTTTTTAGTTAATTAATAAAAATATGTAAATAAAATTTCTACAGAGATGGACTAACAGATGAAGACGTTGATTTCATTATACAGCTTAAACTTCTGTTCATAATTATTGGTTGTTTTTCACCAATTCAAAATTAGCATTCCTTGAAATTTTTTATATTCCACAGTTTTATTTTTTTATGAAGGAAAACTACTTTATTTTTTCTTTCTCCTTTGACAAAAGAACATCTAGTTCACTCATTCTATTGTTACAGTATCATGGTTGAAAACAGAGCAGTTCAATTGTAAATAAATTTTGACGTCATAAAATCTCTTTACAACAATATCTTTACAGATTCATGTCAAAGATACCAGTCCATGAAAATCCAATATGGCTTTTTTCCTTTAAAAGATTAAATTAGCAGAACTTTTAAGAGTTATACTGCTCTCCTTCAACACAGTAACTACATTAAAGATGAAATTCAAAATAAAACTTCTCAGAATACAAGATGCAATCAGCATGTATATACAGTCAAACCTTGTTATCTTGAACCCGATGGGACCAAGAAAATACTTCGAGATATCCGAGGGTTCAAGATATCCAAGGTAAAATACTAAAGCAATAAGCAATTGGGATTTCCAAATCACTTCGACATATCCATGGTATTGAAGATATCAGTGTTCGAGATACCGAAGTTCAACTGTATTTGTAAAGCCTCTACACAATAACCCCAGACATTCACCCTCTGTACAACAATGCCTCATAAAATTGTTTACAGAGAATCACTGAAAGCACCTATGTTTGAGTACAAGATACATTCCCAATTAATTTTTCTAAGCAGCACAAGTTCTGACACTAACAAGTCCCTCTACCTAATCAAGGAGTTTGGTCTCTTTTATCTAATGTTATACATGTAGAACCAAAAAAAAACAAGATGTGTTTGTGAAACACTGATGCCCCCGCATGGCAACTTATAGCAAAGGTTAAACTTTCTCAAATGCGAATCAAATATGTTGATGCCCAAAGCAAGGTATTGTCTCGAGGAATATACCTGTGAAATATGAGAGCCCTAGCAGCAACCATTGAATAGATATGGAAAAGGTTAAAGTTTTTCAAAAGTAAGTCAAACATCAAGGTCAAGGTCAAACGGTAAAAAATAATGGTGCCTAAGGAAAGGCCTTCTTACAAGAAATATACTGGTGAAATATGAAAGCTGAAGCACCAATCCTTCAAAAGTTACTACCAAGGTTTAAGTTCTCCAAAAGTACGTCAAACTCCAAGGTCAAGGTCAATGGATTACAATTGTTGGTATCCAAAGGAAGATCTTGTCACAAGGATTACATATGCGAAGTATGAAAGCCCTAGCACCAACGGTTCAAAAGTTATGGCCAAGATTAAATTTTTCCAAAAGTAGGTCAAACTCCATGGTCAAGGTCAAAGTTGTTCATATCCAAAGGAAGGTCTTGTCACAAGGATTACATATGTAAAATATGAAAGCCCTAGCACCAACGATTCACAAGTTATGGCTAAGGTTAAAGTTTTTCAAAAGTAGGTCAAACTCCAAGGTCAAGGTCAAAGGGTCGAGGTTGTTGGTATCCAAAGGAAGGACTTGTCACAAGGGTTACATATGTGAAGTATGAAAGCCCTAGCACCAATTGTTCAAAAGTTATGGCCAAGGTTAAAGTTTTTCAAAAGTAGGTCAATCTAAAAGGTCAAGGTCAAAGGGTCAAAGTTGTTGGTATCCAAAGGAAGGACTTGTCACAAGGATTACATATGTGAAGTATGAAAGCCCCAGCACCAATTGTTCAAAAGTTATGGCCAATGTTAAAGTTTTTCAAAAGTAGGTCAAACTCCAAGGTCAAGGTCAAAGGGTTAAAGTTGTTGGTATCCAAGGGAAGGTCTTGTCAAATGGATTACACATGTGAAGTATGAAAGCCCTAACTCCATCTGTTCAAAAATCATGGCCAAGGTTAAAGTTAGGTAAAATTTTGTAAAACTAGGTCAAACTCCAAGGTCAAGGTCAAAAGGTCAAATATGGTGGTACCCAAAGAAAGGTCTTGTCACAAGGAATACACATGTGAAATATGAAAGCCATAGCTCCAATCAATCAAAAGTTATGGGCAATGTTAAAGTTTTTGCGGACAAACAGACAGACAGACAGATGGACAGGGCAAAAACTATATACCCCCGAATCCTCAATATCGGGGCATAAAAAATCAGTACAATACTAAATATATGTCCAACCTAAGTAATAGTAGACTTTAAATTACCAAATACATTGAACCTTTTTATTTAGCACAACAGTCTTTCCTTCAGATATGATTGTCTATCTGGGTTTATTTTTGTAATAAACTCAATAGCAACAGGAGCATACTTTATATAGAAGGAGGAGAACGTTTGGGGTTGACAATAGAGAGTACTCACATATTCAGTTTTCATCTATATTTACATGTACTGTCATATCTGGATTGGCAACTAGCAACTAAACATAACATAAAAACCATGGAATACAGTTCTATAAACCTTTATTAAGAAATATATGTAAAACACAGGTCTCCTTTACCCCATCCTTTAGAAAGCAGTATCTATTTCTCATTGTCAACATCAACTCTGCATACAATCAGATTAAACAATAAGTTCCTACATGTACTATACTGAACATATTGATTAGCAGAAAACCTGTTGACCTTTGACCTTAAAATCACCTAATGAATATCAAATCCCCTATACAATTTCTTAAGGTACTCACGATTAAACAACTTTTGGGCATAACAGTAAACTAAGTGATCATTGACCATTTGCTTTCAAAATCAATAAGGGTCAGCTTCATTTTATAACAGTAATCATTTGTATAAAATTTTTAGGCCTATCAGAACTTTTAAGTTAAGTGTAAATGCATTAGTTGTACAATATTTTAAGATAAAAACATCAGCATTTTACCTATAAACGTTGGAGGCAAGTATTCAAATATTGACAATCTAGCGTATGAGGTATGGAGCAAAAAGCTTCAAGATATCGATCGGCTGGGAACCATAAGATTAGGAAATGGTAGAAAATATATCTAGCCTGTCTAAAAAGTTTGATGACTAACAAGCCATGATTCACAAAATATTGGCTAGAAACCACTGGTTTACTGATTGATCCAACAAAAAACTGCCCAGACTTCATTATTCTTGTCTCAAACACACTATACTGTTACCATGTTCTAACATGATAAGTAATGAAGATGGAACCCCTCAGTAATGGCTATAATTCTACAACATTCATATCACAATATGTTTGCGATATGTATGTTCACAATATTACAGGTACAATATTTGTTTACAGATTAACTGAATTGTTGCATCCCTTAAATTTCAAAACCTTACCAATTCTCTTTTAATTATTCAAAACTGTAAGCACAGGCAACACCTTTGCATAGATATCACTGCCATTTCCTCAGGTTCATAAGAATCACCAAGTTGTTTACCTTTGGCAAATTAGCAGTTTTATTTCTCTGTTTGAAATGTAGTTATGTTGACGTACAAATTGTATTTGTCACACAACTCGTTCAATGTACAGTGATACCAAATAAAAAAGCCATCATAATCCAAGGTGTCCTAACCTTCATAAGAGGTAAAACCTTTAACATATAAGCCAAGAGAGTGCTAGTACTTACATAGTTTTTATATTCAGGCCTGCTGCATCCACTGGATTTCATTCCATCATTAAAAATAACACATTCATGGGGTTCCACATAAAGTTCCTCCACAGACTGAGCAAAGATCAGCTTCTGATGCAGGACTCCATTCTCCACCTCCAACTTGATGTGAGGACGCTGTCCACCATGCTACAACATCAGAACTCATACTTAGCCTAGAGAAAATCACTGGACAGTGCATGTCACCTGTGTAATTTGTAGTTTATACCTTTTTTAAAATAAATTTCAATATGAACTAGAGTATAAGAAAACAAAACAATACTTCATATAAAATTAATGACAAATGAGGTATTAGTTAGGTATATATACATGAAACTTGCATGGAAACTTATAAATATTCATATCTTGTGCAAAAAATAAATATTAATATATCCAAGTACAGTAATTTTAAAATCATTTTATGACATCATATGTAATAATTCACACCCAGGGCCTATGTGTCTGCACTTTACAACTTGACCTTTAACATTACCATGCTTTGATATATAAGACATTTCTTCCCCTCATCCATGGACATACCTTAACTTAAATTTTGAATCATATATTGGTCTTTGTGATAAAACTTTGCCTAGTAAGGGCATTTAACCAGAACATGCATGTTCTCATTGGTTCATATCTTTAAACAAATATCATTGTGAGATAAGCAAAATTTTGTTCTTGTGAATCTCAAGAAGTGAATTCCTAAATGTACCAGTAATTTTCACAATTTTTTTCTGTACATTATGATATTGTGCTACAATAGCATGTACGTTAAGTAATAATTTAGACCTCAGGGTTTTAAAATTTGCAACTTTATGAACCCATAGCTGTAGTTCATAAAGAAAAAGTATGCATAGCATTTTCTGCATCAAAAGACATGCAAATGAAGGCATAAAAAAAATCATTTCAAACTTCAAACTGGACACATTCGTGGTCAGACTGTGTTAAATAATATGTGTTATTTTCACCTCAGTCAATATTGATATTTTTCTGGTGAATAACAAACCATATTCACCACCGAAAGAGTCCATAACTGTTTTATTTTATAGTCAGGATTTGAACGAATAAGACATCGAAGGCTGCATGACGACTCCATTTTCATTAACGAACTTCTGTCGTAGAAAAATTTAAAAAAAATTTCCAGATTATAACTTGTAACTTCCATGTTTTCCTTTCGCTGTGTGCAAGACATCGATATGTTTTGAAAATAATCTTACGAGAAATTTGCCTAAAAGTTTTCCTGCTCAGATATACAGCATAATTATGCAGCTGGCTCCGGCCGTTGCAACCATTATTTTCAACGCGTTGTTTTAGGTATTGATTGTGACGTCACAATGCCACTGCACGCGCACCGACCCTCCGGTGAATACGGCTTCAAATCCAGTGAATATTTAGTATTTTGAAATGTTTGCATTTGTATAGATTATATAAGGACTATTTATAAACTATATAATAATATGTGTTATTATTCCTCTGTGTATTTTTTTCTATATAAAAATTTGGCAAATAAATCACTATTACATGTATTTCTAAACAGCCTCTACCGAGAAATACTGTAGATTCCTAAATATACGCGAGGAATTAATTATCGCGTAATTACGCGAGAAGCACCACTCGCGAAATAAAATTACTCGCTTTTATTTTTATGGTGCTGAAATCAATGGAAAATCTCTTGATCAACAGTCCACTCGCGAATTATTGTTCTCGCGATTTGACGTAAAAGAGTCATTTTGTGAAAATAAGTACTCGCAAAAATAAGGAATCTACAGTAGTTTTTGTGCCTTTTAGCCAATAGTCATCGAAACTATTCGCTGACAGCATTCAATTTCTCTCACTTTTTATCTCCAAACTCTTCTGGTTTTATGCAGATCATGATGTAAAAATCCAAATTCAAAGTCCAATAAGTAAAGTCTGCTTTAGTATAATGAAACACCTATTTACTGACTATTCAGATTTTGTTGTTCCTTGTCCCCCTCAAAAGCAACTTTTTCTCTCAGCTGCACCTGGGGTAATAGTTGCCTTTAGGGTGGCAATAGCCAATAAATACAGTAGGTGCAATCTAATTAAAATTAGATCTTTGACCCACTCCAACTAGATTGCTACACAAAGTAGCGATCTAGTTGGAGCGGATCAAAGATCTAATTTTAATTAGATTGAAGTAGGTGATACATGTACTATAATCCAATCACAAAAAAGAACATGCATAAAGATTTTACATAAAACCTCTCCTCCGACATCAGGTTATTCAGTTAATGATACCTCTGGACTTCAGTACATGCACTGCCCAAGAACTTACTGTTATCATAGGTGCCAAAATAATATTTTGTCCACTCTAAATGAAAAATATTTACAAACATTCATAGTTTTGAAACTAATGCATTACAGCTATTAGAATGATTATATGACTAAAGGACTTTCTATTATTATTATTAAATTCACCTTGTGCACAATCTGGGTAATAAACTGGGTTTCTATCAAAGTGTAAAGCTATGAGCAAATCCTTTGAATGCATAATTCTTGCCATAAATGGTAATTTCAATATTCAACTTGTTCCTAAAAGATGCTTACAGAAAAATATTTTTTATTTCTCTCCAATTCAGCTATGTGGTTGCAAATTAATAAGCCAAAACATTCTAGAAAGGACCTTATTTCAATATTTTAGAAACTACCATTAATTTTTTCCCCCTTTTGTGGCCCCTCTCTTGGCTACAGTACACATGCTTGTATACAAATCCCCCCTGCAAAAGGATGCTCTTTCTACAGAGTTTAGTAAAAATTAAAAAGTCAATAATGCAAAAAATTAAAACCAAACAGTAAGACGGACATTGCAGAACTTCCATTTAAAAGAAAAATTTTAAATAAGTTTCAGGTAAAAATGACTAAAAAAAAAAAGATATCAACTAAAGGTAACTTCTACAAAAATATAAATTTAAAAAAAAAAAATTAGCATTCTATAGAAAAGACAAGCTATCATTTAAGGACATTTATTTTCAAGCACTGAATAAAAATTTTGACCGACCCAATAAAACATGCACTTGAGTCACATTAACAATAGGAAGTATCCTGAAATTGCATCACTCCAAAGAACAAATTATCTAAAATCTAAAAAGTTTGTTGACTGCTTTTAAAAGCAATGACTACTTGAAAAAAATAATAAGAACATTGTCATTCTTGTTTTGTTTGTTTTTTTTTTTTTAAATTGAGCAAACTTAGGTCCCAGTTGATGTAAAATAGATGACAGAATATTAGAGGGAAGGGCAGGCATTTGAAATTTGATTTCTATGATATGCTGTCAGATTTGTTTTTTGATCCCATTTCATAGTTTATGCTACATTATATATGGATAAACAATATAGATTAGTCATAATTCCATTAATTAAAGTAAGACATAATTCAAAACTAAGCTTCATCAGTAACTTATACTATACAGAGAGATTAAGCTCAATGCCTACAGGTACAGTTTTGTGAATATTTTAAATCATGGTGATTTAATTCTGTCAAACTTCGGACCATCTTTACAAGCAAAGGGCTTTGGTCTGCTATACACCCTGCAAACCTTTGGCATATTACACTAATAAAACTGTGGCAAACTTTAGAAACATCTTCTGGCCCAATAATTTTTTTTTAAAACTAGATTTCAGCCAATCATGTAAACCTTTCAAATTGCAGCCTAGTGTCCATTGTAAACAAGAAATTGAGGTGTACACGAAAGCAGAGATAGGAGAACTACAAAAAGAACTGAAAGCTTCAGCAACAAATGGTAATAGAGGTGAAGTGAGAATATAATGTATATATGGGTACAAGGACACGGAGTAGCAAATTGTTTATATATAAATGTCTGTCTGTTATTTATATGAAATAATATGACATGATACCGTAGATAACTTAACTTTTGTGACACCTTATTTTGGAGAGATTGTTGTTTGGTATTCATAAATGAAACAAAATTTTCATACATTTCGTTTATGCTCTACATATAATCCTTAATAATAGAATCATACGTGAGAATGAAATGTTCATGAGCAGTCAGTCTCACGTATTTACATGAAAATGAAGTTCTCACAAATAAAAAGTGATTTAAACTAGCTGTTTTTTTATTGGTTACAAGGGTCTTGCTTGGAACGAATAAAATATTCATTATAGTCTTAGTGGGCCTTATGTGAGCCTTATGTGCTCAAAGCCCGAAGAGAACTAAGTAAGTAGTTAGTTTTAGTAGGGTTATTTGCCAAGGGTTTGTGGGTAGTGAAGTGGACCAAAAACTCTTGCCTTTCAAAGATGGCATCAAACAAAGAGAAGAAAATTAAAATCTAGCATTTCATCATTATAAGATCATACAAGAAAAATTCAGCTCTTTATCTACAGGCATACCAGAATTAAAGTCTACACAAATGTCATGTTCCTGAAATACAGTTTAAGAGAATAGAAGAATGATAGATATGAATAAAACTATGTACAAGTATGCCCTTACTAAATTGTGGGAGGGACATCAAAAAGTGTTAAATCTCAAGCTTTTCAAATGAATTCAATAAAGCATTTTACTGAAAAACAGCACTTGAAAAATTGCACGAACATTCATGTAAATGTTTTGCTTGCAAGATTTACCGGGAATTTTTTGTAAGCATATATTGGACGGGTCAGGTATTTAGGTAAGGTGCTCATGTAGCTAATGGTCCCAGTTCCTGTCACTACTGGAACAGTACACTGAAAATTTAGTCAACCAAAAATAAAAACCAATCCTAAAATATTGACATATATACGCACACGTACACTATACTTAAAAATCACATCATATTCTCTATATTTATAGCGTGTTTGGATTTTACAAATAAAATATTTCTTCATAATTTCTTTGATTTCTACAGCAATACTAATCATATTCGTAATATTACAAAGGTACTCATTAATACTGTTGGGGACAAAAGAGGTTATTGAAATATTTTACATTTATGGTATTCAAAAACATAGTATTCCCTTCGGAAACTGTTATATATTACATGTAAATAAAGCCATGGTGTACAATGATTTATTAAGGAAGACACTCCCTTGTTAATACAGTAGCAGAGTAAGAGGAGTAGGTTGTCCTAATGACCTACCTGTACTTTGAGCTGTCTACACTCCTCCCCTTCACAAACACCCTTTGACATGAAGTGTTCACTGACGTCATCAAGCCGATCAGAAAAATCACCTCCCACTAAAATCAAATGTTATCACAGGCTATTTTGGACTTGTCTCTCTGTCAAGTTCAATAATGTTTTTATTGAAATATATACTCTACATGTATATAAGAATGAAAAACAGGTTTTAAAAAACCCTAATATTTGCTTTAATATTTTTAAAACAAACACTGTGGAATCATTTTAATTTGTGGAGAGAGCAATTTTCAGGGACTGTTTATATTTAATTTACATTTAATTTGGTTGGCAAAATTCATTTACATTAAAACGGTATTGACTATAGATTGATACAGGCTATAGCTCTGTAAACCCTTGTGTTAGGACTGCCCATGATATCCAAGAAAATTGAATTCACTTCCTTTTCAAAGAAACACTAAAGCTCCAACTTATTGCATTTTAAACTCATTTAAGTTTCTTTTTTACTTAAAAATTATTCCCCCCAACCCATTTATGACTTCAATTACAGTTAAACTTCGTTATCTCGAAGTTGACGGGACCGTTGATGAACTTCGAGATATCCGGGGGTTCGACATATCGAGGGTTATAATTCAAATGAACTTCAAATAAACTTAGTGCAGTGAACATGTACTTAATGGTAAAAACATGTCAAAATTCCTTATTCGAAATTCTGTACACGATTTCTTTAATAAACATGTATATGTATTTAGCAATAAAAAGATTTTTGCATCCTCTTTATAATTCACAAAATAAAAACTTTTTATAATATGCACAGAAGTATAATCCTTCTACCAACGCAGCAAGTCAACCGCTAGCATCGTTTCCCATGTATATGTATACATAACAGGATATTGTCTATGCATTGTAAATTTAAAACCGGTCGCGGTCAGAATAACGGAAACGAAATATACATTTTCTTTTATTGGAAAAAAATGTTCATACATGTAAAATCAGTTAAAAGAAAATTATTTTACCATAATAAAATCAAATGCAAAAGAAGAATTACGCGCTTTTGTCTAACAAGAGAATACTGAATCACAGGGCACTGTAGCACAAGTTTTCACTGCGACACATTATCACATGATGGTGTGTACGGACGAATGTAAATTCTGCACGCTCGTATGGGAACAATAAATTCTAATTGCATTAAATTACAGAAATTTGTTTCACTTCGATGTTTATAATTTTCACTTTCATATGCATAAACTATGTATATTTCACATAGCATTAAATAGCGATTATCAAGATAAACGTACCCAAGCCACTAAACAATCAACGTGTCATTCACGCGTATTCATTGGAGTAATACACACAACCTTTGGCTTGCATAATTGAAATCGTGGTAAGCCATACATACACTTCGTATAATTATCGCGCTATTATCTGTTGATCACAGGAACACAGGTAACCCGAGCGTGACAGACGGGTGGGTGTTATCAATAGAGCATTCAGTTTACCTAACGGACTTGATCATCAGAGCGGAAAATTATCCTGACTTCGAGATAACGCACGTGATTTTAATGAATGGGTACACAATTTTACTTCGAGATAACCGGGGTATTCGACATTACCGTGTTCGACATAGAGGGGTTTATTTTAATCATTTATAACGCAAATTTCTTTGGGACCACGGCCTTACTTCGACATATCCGGGGTATTCGAGATATCCGTGTTCGAGATTTCGAAGTTTAGCTGTATTATGAATGCCCCCTCCCCTATTTATAAACCACCATAGTATATAGTCTTACAGTTAGGTTCATCTGCACTGTTTGGGAAAGGCTGGGTTGGTCCTTTCTGGGAACATGTACTACCTAAAATCAAAATAATGTGAATCAAAATAGTAAATAGTTTAACATAAAATGGAGACCTAAATACATATTGTTACAGCTTAAATATTTTTTATATCGAAAGAAGTATGTATTATAACTAGTCAAAAACAGGCACTCTGGAACAAGAAACAAGATTTTATATAGTGTTGAAAACTTGAAATGGTATAGAAGTGAGATGTGTGCATCCCTTAATGCATCATGCACAATTATTAAGTTTGATACAAGAGAGGCATAAGATTACAGATACATGTACCTATATTTGAGAGTTGGGGATGAATTTAACCTGCTCCAAAAAGATTGACTTGGTCACTCATTCAAGAGATACAGTCAGATGCAACATCCAAAACAAGGTGGTAATATGCACCCCTAGATGCCTAATTCATGACAGGTCTAAGTAGGATTTAAAGTTCCTTGTTAATGTACCTATATTTTTGACTTGCTATAAGTACCTGCCATAGGCTCCTCCCCATTACAGCTGTCAAACTTGATTGGTGTGACTGTACAGGTTTGAGTACAGTGGCCATTACACTCCCCGGATTTTGTACGACTCCTTGTCTCTATTACACACTTCTCTTCCCCATTCTCCTACAAATCATTCAGTAATCTAATTAATCATTTATATCTTCTAGGGTTTTGTAGATTTGCATGACTCTTTGTCCAATTATACACATTTCTTCATTCTCCAACGAATTATTCAACAATCAAGCCAATCTTTTATGCTATATTATGTAAAATGAGAAACTGAGAAATTCTTTCTGAGAGCTTTCAATCACAGTCCAAGATCTACAATGCATAACTGGCAGGAACCCCCCCCCCCCCCCCCCCCCCCCCCCGAAAAAAAAAATTATCAAATGGAATTTCTATGTATATACATGTATATGTAATGTCTTAAAGAGGAAATTGAGGCTTGAACAAGCACTTACAACTTCTATCAATCTTTGTAATGTCAAATACATAGTATACTCAACGGGACATTTGGAAAGTTCTAATGATTGTTTGCTAGATTGTTGATCATTTATTAATAAAAGTAAATGTGAAAATACCAATATACTGTGACATCACATAGAATTTTTTGTGACATATGATTTCTAAAATGAAGTCATAACCCTATTAATGTACATATATTAATACTGATGTGTTTTAGGGCAACTGTACTTCTTTTTGTTAACAATTCTTGCAAGATTAAATAAACTTCTCAACAAAAACAACTCACATTTTTACAGATGACTCTACTCTCTGTTTCCTGGTTTCCGTTGGATCCACCACCTTTGTTTCTGGACATACAGCCCTGGTTTTTTGTCTGCTTGGCTGCAACAGCACTCTGAGCTGCATGGTGAAATTTCAAGTAGCATCTAATGGCTCGAAGATTATTAAAGGTGTCCTGACTTTCTGGTAGGATGTCCAGGGATTTTTCATAATGCTTTACAGCTCCTGTGTAGTTCTTAGTTGCCCATAGAAGGTTTGCATAGAAATAATGAGACTCTGGCTGAAATAGGAATTGAATGATTAAAGATTTAACAATCTAACATACATATAAAATAACTTCTTTTTTTTTATTTTGCCTCACAGATTACAGAACTAAAATTTTCATCTATAAAGAACTTAATGTCTTTTAAACAAAATAAAAACCGAGTTGCCTAATTGCAGTATTAAATAAGTAGAGAACATCCAAAATCTCTTTCATTTTACCTGTTTAATGGGGAAAAAAAATCTTTTTTAAACAACAGAAAGACATACATGTACATGACATTTATGTTATGAGTATACCTCCAAATCATTGACAGCCAAAGCATCCTTCATCACTGTGACAGCATCTTCAAACCGCCCCCACAGGTAGAGAATGTTAGCCAGATTAATTAGTGGTACATCTCGGTACTCGTCTGGTACTAGGTACAGTGAGCGCCGGATACACTCAATACCCTGATAGTTGTTACCAATAATCCTCCAATATAGTCCAGCCAAATTGTACAAAACCCATCCAGGACCAATTTTCTACAAAATACACTTAATACAATATGTATAACAAGAAAGTACATGTATATAATTTTTTTAAATCAATCTAGCAGTTGAAAATCTCCTTTTGAAAGTTAGCTTTCCTTTCTTTGATAAACAAGCTATTAAATTTCTATAGTCTAAAATCACCATCAAAAATACCGGGTAGCTTTTGATAATAATTATGACTTTAAAAAGAAAAAAAATCAAATGCGGATTCTACAATATTCTGCCTATTGTTCCCTAAAGTGTTCCCTTGATTAACAGTCCTGTTGTCTCTAACAAGATCTTTAAAGTCTTTCCTAAATATTCCTTTGTAAAAAGTGGCCTATAGTTATAGTGAACTCTGATATAACAAATTTACGGATAAAGCGAACTGATTTGTGTCCCATGGAGGTTAAAATTAATGAATTTTTCATTTTTGTAACAAAAGTTCAATGATCTCAAAATTTTAAATATCAAACTAAATTTTTTTTTTGTACATATCTATATTTGAAATCTAATTCAACAGAAAACTTAAGTTCTGTATTTGATACTTCCCCAAACATTTGGTAGTCATAAGAAGGAAAACATGTATATTGCAAATTCATATTGCAAATTCCCTATGTATACCCTAATGAATTTGTTCTACGGATAAAATTAATTACAGATATACATGTAGCAAAGTAAATTCACAGGTCCCATGGACTTTGCTATATCCCCGAGTTTAAATTTATCTACTTTATGGATTAACAAAGTACCTGTTTTAAAGCAGTCAGTAGTCTCTGTCCTATTTCTTCTATTGCAATCCCATCATTAACATGGGCAATAAGGATCTGAAAGAAGAAGAATTCAGTAAAACACAAGCCATTTGACAGATAATGATTGCAGAATATCATGACTTCCAGATAGGACAGTTACCAGCCAACAAAAATTAGATAGGATTAATGTAGTACATGTATGTTAGACGCATAAGAATATTCAAATTTTAATTGAAAAGGTGTGATAGATTTAGATTTACATTTATTCAAAGTATGGAATGCCCTAACGGGGTCAATACTAGAAGGAAACTTTAATATCCTCTATCTATTTAAACAGGAGGTATTGACAGAACATTGAGTTTTAGACATATTCTCTTTTTACTTCTAAAACATCCATACACAAGTCATCGCAGTTTAGAGGTATTCTATACTTATAAGAAATGAAGGGGAATCATTGAGTTTTTAATGCATTCTTTATTATGGGAAACATAGTACTGTATCATTGAGTTATTCTATACTTACAGGAAACATGGACTGATCACCGAGTATTAGAGATATTTTAACAGGAAACATGGACTGATCACTGAGTATTAGAGATATTTTAACAGGAAACATGGATGATCACTGAGTATTAGAGTTATTCTATACTAACAGGAAACATGGACGGATCATTGAGTTTTAGCGGTATTCTAGTTCTCTCTTCATAAGAGACAGACTTGATGTGGTCATAGGTTTTCTTCTGACCCTCTGGAATCTCCATAAGTGGCACACAAACTGGTGGATACCAGGGTAAGGGATGCTCATCCTCTGGTAGCAAGTTTTGGGCTTCTGTCAACAAGGCTTTTACCCTGGTTTGAATAAAACAAAAATAAATTGTTTCTTTCACTCCAAAGCAAATGATTTTTAAATTACATGGAAAATGTTAAACAGAGAGTAAGTTATACCAGTGACCAGTAAATGATTAAATCATTAAACATGACTATTTTCTTACTCAAATCCTTTGTTTTCTGGACTGAGATAAATGGTGGACAGATTACGGGGATCTGGGACCTTCTGGACGTAAGTATCACATTCATCTTTAGCTGGCCAATCACTGTCCGGGTTATTGTACTGTAACATACAGAATCACAGAATGTAATATGCCAATAAAAATCTTCAGTCTGAATAACAATGTCACTCTGTGACAACTATCTATACATCAACAAAGAAAGAGAAGAACCATGGTCCATTCATTCACAAATTGATTCTCCCATGCTATTAAAATATATTGTCTCCTTATTGGCTTTATTGTCTAAGTTAATAAATAGGTAATATGGAGTGAATCAAGGGGAGATAACTAATTTTAAAGTACAAATTCTTACTTTAGGTGCCTCCAGTCTTTTTTCATTGGTATACAGTGGAGCTCGGACAGGTTTGGTGTAGTCAATAATGGGAGATTCTTCTTCCTCTTCCTCTCTTTTCTATTGAATAAGATAAAAAATGTACAGATAACTAAATTTACATACTTGTTGATATTGAGACACATAAATTATCATTGTATTTATTCAAAAGCAGAGAAATAAATCCTAAAATACATACATTAATGTCTACAAGGTTTCCATGCTCAAAATCTCCAAACACAGTGAAGTCCATTTCATCCTCCATGGCTTTTTTACCCCAGGTACACATTAACACTTGTCTCCCATTTCTGTCAACCATCTGGCAAAACTCACCTACATGAAAAAACAATCAAAGTCTTAATTCTCAAATTTCAGAGTAAATGGGTTCTTTACAGCATTGAAATATTTGGAACTCACATTCAGCATCAGATAATGCACATAACAAACCTATTTCAACGTTAGTTTGCTGCATTTTGAGACTCTCATGAGCAACATGTTGGTTGATTTTGATGTTGGCAGACACCTGCTCTGACACCAACTTCTCATTTTGTTGCTGCCAATAATCATGCTTCTTCTGGTAATCTTTTAAATCATTCAGAGTTTTCTGGAGAGACCTACAAAATATACATTGATATTATGCCTATTAGATTAAAAAAAATTTGTGATATCCTTTGTTCTACTTTCTGTTTACACACATGTACCTGTGTTGTAAGCATGCAGCCTCTTATTTTACCTGACACAACAATGTGTACTTCCTATTTTCTGTTTACCTGTGTTGTGCCTCTAGAGCAGCCTCTAACTTGGCATGACACAACACTGCATACTTTCTCTCTGCAGCAGCTTTGAAATCTGGCTGGATCTTCAGAGTATTCTCAAAACAGATTACAGACTTATTGTACTCGGCCATCACCTGTGGACAAGAAAAAGTCTTGCCATAACTCCTGTCATGAACCAGTCAGAGGGATCCTTATAAAAATCTTCAATGTGTTTAATATACATATGAAGTACACATTTGTGCATAGTGCACACCCTCACTTCTGACATTTCTTAATAAATAAAAAATTTGTCCTATTTATATTGCCCTCCAAGAAATAACATATTAAAAAAATATCCTCTATAAACAGAAGTAGAGTAGCATATCTCCTTGTTTTTCAATTTTTCCTATTAACACTGGTAAATTTCATGCAGAGTTTAATTTTAAATATTCTCATAGATATCTTGGTCCACACTTTAAAACCTGCAGCATGCATATCATAAACACTGTCCCTCTCTGGTCTAAATGTTTGTTTTGCAGTGTCCAATACTTACAGCATAAATATTTCCTAGAGTGAAGTGGTTTACATTAAGTTCCTTTGACACATCAAGTGCTGCATGAACAACAATGGCAGCTTCATTAGAGTATCTGGCACGATGAAGTACATTAGCCAAGCTAATTAATGCTACATCTTTATGCAACCTGAAAAAAATTCACATTCATATTACAGGAAGTCTTTATATTCATCGAATGATTTAAATTTGCAAAATTAACACATTAAATCTTGCTCACTATGAAAATACCCATCAATAAATCTATAGTACAAATTAATACAGTTATTTTAGTTACGAACAAGAAACAATTAATTCATGAAATGCAAATGCTACCCACATGTTACCCACATCTGGCCAATTAAGCTATAGACCCATCTTCTTCCATAAACTACATTTTCCATCAAAATTGTGCTTCTAAATCATAAGTTCTGCACTTAAATCACATAACCCTATCCTTGTCCAAAAGACCTACGGTTGCGATCAAGACACACCATATGACTATACTGTATGTGTACTTAAAAAAGTGGGCTTCATATTTTAGCGGCTTTGGCCAATGTGCTAATTTATGAATACCACTAAGAAATCATTTATAAATACAATATACCGCACGGACATGTATAGCGCTTATTCATGATTTCGCCAACAACTCCATACCCAGTGATTGCGCTAAATTTTGAATACGCCAATTTATGTACACGTACAGTATTCTATCTTTGTGTCAAGTGCATGTGTAATGTTCTAACATTTTGTTACAGTGTCATATTCCAGACATGAATTTTAACTTCCAATCCCTTGAACTTATTCAAATGAAATTGGCTCCTTGTCACAATACACCCTCTGATTATAAGCAACATTTGTTATAAGTACAAGCTTCTAATTTCTTTCATTACAAAATTATCAACCAAAACTAAATTTTTGAATTTTTTGCATCTATTCTTAGCAACTTTGTCTTATCCATACGACCTTATGTAAGGGAATGAGGGAGCCTTTTCAAATGTATGCCATCACTGAATGCACTAAAAATCTTCCAATGTTCTCCAAAGCAAAGAAATAGCCTGATAGTGTACAGGAATTACTGTATGATTTTTTTTTTGTGCCAGACTTGAAGTTATTCATATATCACTGACTCCAAGCCAAGAAACATCCTAAGGTCATAAACAGTCTATCTGTGAAGTATGAGCTTCCAACCTTTCTCCATTACAAAGTTATGGCTCAGACACAATTTTACAGGCTGACAAATATATCATCAGTAAGCAAATAGATGAACAGTCAAGGTGGTTCTTCCCACACAGTTCTGATTAAAACTTTGAACAAATAACATGGCACATGGAGAATTACCTTGGAGAATAATTTAAAGCTCTTCTAAGACACTCTATTGTCATATATGGATCCCCTTTTATCCTCCAAAAGAATGCAGCCATATTATAAAGCACCCATGATGTTGTGTTCTATAAAGAGAGCATACAGTGTACTGAGAATGTTTTATTTGTATGTACAAGCTTCTGGAAAATTATCTAAAACATTCTTTTTCAATAACGTACAACTCTGATTCTATGTATCGCTTGTACCACAAAACAAAAGGAACGTGAATTTTTAAGTACTACTAAGAGGTCTTGTAGAATATTAGTCATTTTTCATAAATTACATTTACCTTTTTTAGGGCCTCATACACTCTATGTCCATACTCCTCAACACTGTCTTGGTAAGTGATAGCATTCTTCAGACCCAACTCTGGGGTACCAGAGAGGGACAAGCGGTCCTTCATACCCTGTAATTTACACGTCAGTGGACAGTTCAGCTTTTTCACATAAAAGTAATTGTTATACCCTTATAAATATCTTTCTATATATTCATTATAAAAAAAGTCCAACAAAGCAAATGTTTTTTCATCGGTCTAACAATTTCATTGTTGACCAGTCTGTCAGTCCAACGTAAGAATTGTGAGACCGCAACGTCACTGCTATGTCACAAGTAATTAGTCATCAGTCAATATCGGTGACACAGAAATAGCCAAAGTTTCAAGAGTTACCACGTACCATGCTATTTGAAAGATGCCGTCACAGGAAAAATAATGTTTTGGATAAAAAATTTCTGTGTTATAATAATTTAATAATTTTTTTTTTTCATTCTTTATTGTTGTCATTTTTATTTAAAAAGCCAGAATATTACTTATAAAGAAATTGTTTAATTATATGAGTAAATCTGTTTAAAGGTTTTAATTTTAGTGTTCTATCTTAAGTGAAGGGTATAACAAAACAGTTATAGACTGGGATTCGGGTAACATATGATTTGTTGGACCTGAAGGTGAAAATGTTGCCCTTGGCCTGCGGCCTCGGCAACATTTTCACCTTCAGGTCCAACAAATCATATGTTGCCCTCATACACAGTCAATAACTGTTTAATGTTATTTTTTTTTAATCCAACTTCATATTTCTTTGCAGACTGGTATGTTCAAATATGAACCAACTGTATTAGATTTGAATTTCTGTTTCATTCAATAGATTAAAGACAAAAGTAAAGTTTAAGACTATTACTGTAAAATTTTTATGTACAAATAATTGATGATCAGGTGCACAATTGAATGCAGCTTTCATCCCAAATATATAGATGTGCTAGGTGTACATATAATTATTACCTCTAAATGTTCAAAGGCATCCATACTAAATGATAGATCTTCTATTAATTCACAGTTTGGAGCCATTAATGATGGCGGTAACTTACTCTTCATATCTAGATGGTCTTCAGGCCTATAAAACAGAGACAAAAAACCAATGAATGTCTGATAAATAAATGTGGTCATTTATTCATTCAAAATAAATATTGTTACAAAGAACCTAATGATTATGTACAATATATGTAAATCAATACATGTAATAAATTGTATAAATGTTCATCAAGGACTGTCAAAAAGATTTTTGAGACATCTGTCCTCAAACAATTGGCTGTTCCAGAATACTTGCCCTCTTACATTTTTACCATTCTGTTCTATTTCAAATTTCAAGATTACAATAAACATAGGTAAACAGAGATTACAGAGCTCACCTCAACAAATGTTGTCTTTAAGTAAGGCAAAGTCCCAAACTAATAATCTAGTAGTGTGCATCCCTAGATGTAACATTTATGCAATTTTGGTCCAATAGGGTTTGCAGTTACTTGGGAATGGACTTATCTAAAAACTTTAAACTAGTCACTCATCCAGAAAATGTAAGTCATATCCAGCATCTGAAGCAAGTCTGAGAGTGTTCATCCTGTGATGCATCATCCATGCAAGTTTGGTTCAGATAGCCCTTATAGTTTATTTTAACCTGGTCACTCATCTGGAAAATGTCAGTCAGACACAGCATCCAAAGAAGCCTGGTAGTGTGCATCTTTAGATGTATCATCAATGCAAGTTTGGTCAACATAGGACTTATAGTTACTTGGAAATGAAACCTGCTCAAAAAACTTTAACTTGGTCACTCATCCGGAAAATGTAGGTCAGATAAAGCATCCGAAGAAAGTCCAGTAGTGTGCATCCTTAGATGTATCATCCATTCAAGTTTGGTCAATATATGGCTTATAGTTACTTGGAAATGAGACCTGCTCCAAAAACTTTAACTTGCTCTAAGAACTTAATCCTGCTCCAAAAACATTAACCTGGTCATTTTTCAGCTGAAATTGCAGCATCTGAAACCTTGACTGGTACAATGAAACATACTAGAAGCATCCTCCATGCATCTCTGATTAATATAGGGCACAGATGTACTTGGAAAGAAAACTGCACCAAAAACTTTAACCTGGGACACCCACTCTGAGGGTATTACATAAGCTCCCCCAACTTCGTTGAGGTGAGCTAAAAATGCAAAAACATTCTGAAAATTCACAGCTGAGAATTTTTTCTGTGAAAAAAAAGAATACATAGATATTTTTATCCAAATGTACCGGTATGTGTTTGCCTATTATCAATGTGTATATAAATAAATTTTAGTCTCCCTCACCGTATGCCTTTATTTTCTAAAGGTAACACTGTACTGATGTATAAATCAAACTCTGGTAGAGGCTTGACGGCCATCAAACAGTCTGGATCTGTTTTATAAAACCTCTGTTCCAGACCTACAAACAAAGGTCAGGATTTACTTCAGTATTAACATATGTCTTACTCTTTTATATGAAATGTAAAATCAAAGCATTCAAAATCTTCTAAGGTTCATTAAATTATGTATTAAACTTTATCAATAAGACAATTTACCTTCACAATTTCTGAGAAAAAATATTATAATTTGATATTTCTTACATAAATAGTTTACCACAAATAATCTACCATACCCTATATGATATGTGTATATTACTTTTATCTTGCATCAATCAGTTAATTGGGGCACCTGTAAAATTTCTCAACATGTCCTGTTTCCTCATTTCAAACATTGCCTCAATGCTAACAATTTCTCAAGAGGAATTTAATTCATTATTAAAATGCACACAATTTCAGTATGCATATATCTTGCTGGGCAAAATTTGGCAAAAATTGTCTTCTAAGTTGACAACAGTGTAAAGGAATAATAGTCATTTAACCTAGTAAGAGTTATCTATCTTACCAGGTGGTTAAGGAACCTTAATGTGCAATTCATAACCAGTTCTCCTATACCTGTATCACGATCTTCATTTTTATCGATTTCATCTTTGCGAGACAGCAGTTCTTCCTTTAATTTATCCAGCATTCCTGATCTTTCTTCCTGTCTCATAAATGCTACCAGATCATATGGCCTCTTCATATTGAAAACTGTGTCCAACTGCACAAAATACAAATATAGGAAAATCATGCTTGCATTGTAGTAGCTAGAGAACACTCAGACACTGATCGTTAATCATATTAATAAATATTTACATGTGCTGTGTTTTTTTACTAAACCAACAATGAAATTGATTTGAATGGCATTTTCGCATACTCAAGCACAGAAATATACATCAGGAAAAACTTACCCAAAGTGATGTCACAATGAGGCTACAGAGATGTTAATAAAAATTTAACGATAGAGGGTATCAAGAAATTCAAATATTGATGGTACTTTTGCTGCTTTTAAACACGTAAAATGTAAATATGCCTAGTATATAATATTTTTCTAAAGTTCTGTTTAAATCACACAGACTTGCACATTGGCATATATTTTTTATGAAGCGCTAGCTCACTTCAGGAAATATGCCTACCGTACTTAAAAAGTCTTTGTGATTTACACACTAATAACTCACACAAACTTAAAAACTTCCCTTAACCATGTTAACTGTACTTTTAAGGCATATATACTGATATGCATTTTCAGAATGGGGGTTCAGTCACAACTTACATCTCATTTCACATTACAATTTCAAATTCCCTAAATGCAATTTTTGAAATATTTTTATACATATGCTTAATTAAATCTCTAGAAAGACTTGTAGATTCACATAAAACTGATATTCTTAATTCCATCTGAATGTCCCAGCTAAAAAAAATTCTTAAGTTAGCATTAAAAGTTGTGTAAAATGATCATTTTGATATTTACAATGGTATTCTGAGAGATCAGATACAATAGTAGCCGATAAAATAAAAATTCACTTGTCATTAGAATGAGATATAACAGTGAATCGTTAAGGTATTTTTTTTTTTTTTTTAAAAAAAAGATTCTATTAACTGCATATAATGCACACTTAACATAGTGCAAATAAACAGGAAATTTTTTTCATGTGTTTTTGTAAGATAAAACAAAGGTTCTTTATAACAGGAACAAAGAGGTGTCTACCACAGCTTAATTAAAAGACTGCAATAATCTATCATTATGACTGAGTAATGTGCAACACAAATAATAAGGATGGTAAAATGATGACAACTCTAGTTATGTCTTTTGGAAAGTATTATTCCTTATTTCAGTTTATATTGCCATACACTGATCAAGCAGTAATTAGAAGGAAAAAAAATCAAACTTTACCAAACTGTCCAACAATCTGTACCATATATACTGGGGATTGGTATCGCCAAAAATTTTTACTAGGATTTAAAATGAATTTCCATAACTTTTCTAACAAATATATTGTGAAAACATAACTTTATTTTTTTTTCATATTTATTTACACATGTATAGCAATAAAGCATGTTTGGATGCAAGGATGGCATTGTTTTACATTTTTTACAATATCAGTATTTGTAATTCAATAGTTTGAACAAAATAATTAATTCTTTCCAGAATTTCTAATTACATACTAATACTGATATTTTAGTCTCTTTATCACGATGCCTATCCAGCAATAAAATAATACACTATACTGGTATACCGATAAAATGGTGCATTCCTAATATATGTTGGTACAACAAATGGAAATTAGTGAAAGTAAATTAATCACGAATGTGTTAGCAATTGTTTCACATATCAGAGACTAGGTTGCAAGCCAGTAAAACAACTATATATATATATATATATGCAGTAAAAGCAGATTTTGCCACCATATAAGGCAAATTTTGAAAATCTCTAGAAATGTACACAATTGTATATATTGTATGAAAATTCTTAATTGACAAAAATTCTTATAGTTTGGAAGTAGATTATCATCAATGCTTGTTTCTGTGATGTCACAAACTATTTGAATTTTCTGTTATATTCAAGATAAAGGACAAAATGGACAATTTTTGTTCAATTTTGAGTATAGAATTTACTGAGCGCAAGCTTGCTCCAAAACAATATTCACATATTTTATTGATATTATAATTCTACACATTATATCAAAAGATAAAGCTGGGGCAGACCTGAGCTCGATGACTTTTAATCAAAATATCGACGTAAAATACTTTTTTCTCTCAATTGAAAATCATTAAAAAATTTGAATTAACATCATCTTCATGATGTCATATCTAACATATGACATCATGGCTGATAAAAATAGCTAATGCTCTCTCGTCTGCAGATACCCCCCTTGGTTTAGAATATAATTATAGATTTCTCCATCAAAGTTTGACTTGGGGGGCAGATATTGGTCATAACCTAATAGTCTTTTGCATTTCAGAGGCATTTTTACTGATTTCATTCCCCTTTTGTATATAACAAGAGGATGTATATCAAGTATGCAAAGATTTTAAATCAGAAACCACCAGTTTTGAAATGCCCCAAATAATAAATATCAGAAGGTTTCATAAAAATTGCAGCAAAATATTTTGATGATCGAATGTACCTGGGGAATAACATTTAAAAAAATCAATTTACTGACTTTTAAAAAAACTAATAAACACATTTTGTAAAGTTCAACACACTATCAAATATTTATTATAAATTTAAATGACTATTCATGCAGTACCGGCAACTATTGATTATTGCTGGATGTAACTACACAATCAAACATTGAAGTATGAAATATTTACATTGCTACTAAACTACTGCAATGAAAAAAAAAAATGATCAGAGTTACTTTCTTTGACGGTATACTTAAAGGGGCCTGGACACACTTGCATTGTCATTGTTATTTACAATTTCAAATTTCAATCTTTATTTAAAAATTAACTTCAGTTTAATAAATTGAACTTACATGCAAATTCTTAAAATTCAATGACAACGACATTCTTTATAACGTTAGGTCAAACATCTGTGTTTGTAAACATGGGCATGAACTCTGTTATTTTTTCTCTGTTTTACAAGGTGTGTTCAATGTGCTTAATCCGCACATTTCACTGAACACAAATTGACAATGCTTGTGTGTTTGTTTTTTCTATCTAACAATTCTACTCTGAGTTTTCTAGATTATAGTTTTAATATTTTTCATTTATACACAACATATTTTCCACTTTTCTCCAATATTACAATATGTAAGAAAAGAAAACACTTCGTGAATTGCGAGGATTGTGTCAATCAAACGTATCCTGAAATTTGCAGTTTGCAGACAAATTTCAACATTAATCTACCAGGGTATTTTTAGTAAACATTGCCACAGTGTTCATCAACATCAACTAACTAATAAACAGAACTAAATTAATACATCCTGAGAAATCTTCATGTGTACCAAGTCATATATTGAAATTGTATCAAAACTGTAGAAGGAACAGTGTTTTGAAAGAATTTCACAGGAATTTCTGTTACCCTCCAAAACAGGCACTATTTACTTTATTATACTGAAAATCTTATTGATTTAAGTCAGCAAATGTAAGTTCATGATTCGAAAGGTTTCACACTCTCCACTTTTGTTTTTCTCAACAAGAAAGTTAAAAAAAAATTACCGACCTCTTTATTGTTTGTTAGATATTTAGAAAGTCCTTTATCGTCGAAAGTTTTGTTATTTCTGCACTCACAAGCATTTATTTGTTTTTCAATCAAGATAAATCAAAGGCAAGCTTTGATTGATGTCAAGCTTATTCAGCTTCTTTCAAACGCACAAGTGACGTTTTGAGAATTCTATGGCGAACCATACGTGCATAATTAACAAGCATGTGACATTTCGTTATGTTACCGGTTGTCAAGTGCATTGCTAATGCTGAGGTTTTTAACATTACGAATTGTTAAATGCGTCTCAACCAATAAGATTTTAGTATTTAATAACATGAAAGTATAATAACAGAAGATATAATCTGTGAATGCTATCTTTACTGTATCCCCTTTAATAAAAAGATATTGAGAAATAATTTGTTTTCGTAAAATAATCTATTTTTGTAACTATCAACATACGAAAAGTGATATCTCTGATTAACAAGATCAGATTTTTTTTATTCCAGCAAAGTGTAAGGATACAACCTTAACAACAATGTCATACTCTATTTTGATTCTTTTGTGTATCTAATTCTCTTTTTGAGGGGCTTCGTAAATTCACTGTACTCTCAAAAGGAGTATTTCACAGGATCTTTTTTAGTTTGAGTTCATCTAATTGTATATTAGGTTTTGTTATTAGATGTCAGTGCCATTTTATAACCTCATAAAACACAGGTATCAGAACTAGATTAGAAGTCAAACAGTCCCAAATAAAATTGTATAAAAAATTGCATCATAATGATTAAATGCCCTTATTTACAAAATTCATCCTCAAAGGGGTCCTTAGTCTACTCATGGCTGTGGGACCCCTGACAAACTCTCATTTGATTTCTTACAGGTGGACTCCAGTGACATCTTTCAGGGAATTTACAAATCCTGATCATTTTTTTTATCTCTGGACCAATTACATTAGCTTTTCCATGGCAAACAACCTGTAACAAGTCCATAGAATTAGGTGTCCACTGCTTGATTTCTGTCAACTTTTTATGTCAGCTTATGAAAGCCCCAATTTGTTTGGTGCTCGTCAATGAGAGAAGCTGGCCCAAAAAAACAAAACACAAGCAAGAAACAAAAACGAATGAAATTTGTCTGGAGCCAAAGGGTATGTGTGGACTCAGACCCCTTGAAGTTGTAAGGATGGCAAAATTCAACTTTTGTTACATTTTTTTTTAATCGTTTACTTATGATTTTTGAAGAGTTCACAACTATTAAATAATTTATTCAAACTATTACAGTTTGTCCTTTTTTATATATCAAGCAAAATCAACATCATCTGACTACTGTAACAGATAATAATTGATCTTTGCTCCCTCATCTTCAGCTGTCAGTACAGAATCAGTGTCAACGGCTATATATATGGCATTCATTCTGCTACAACTTTGTAAAAGAGTGCAATTTATAGTGCAAATTTTGTACCTGGGCTTGGATTCGACCATCCTCGGTGACAACCCAGTGTGATGATCCACCTGATGGAGATATGTGGTGTAAAATTAGCTGGACCATGTACACAACCACCAGCATGGACGCCATATTGTTTTCTTATGAATATTTATGAGACACGAAACTTCCGTTACTCTTCAACACGTGGCATTGTTTATCGATTGTTGATGGTGACAAAATGATCCAGTCGGATTAAAATCACGTTCCACGCGACCATCAAAATAAAGGAGCTAGTGGAAGGTTTGATTTTAATCAGACTGAAAATGATCAAGGGTTTTCAAGATAAAAAAGACCAGGATAAAATTATTTTTCATTACACTCTCAACGGTGAAATACTGTAATTTATCCTTTGTATAAAACTAAAAGTGATATTTTTCACATTGAAAAGTGCGGCAAATTAAACTCGAGATTTTCTTCAAGAAGACAAAGGCAAAAGAAAAATCGAAGAAAATGTAATAAACAGAAAGTTCATGCAGTGTTTGTAGTTTGATATGAAATTTACATTTCACTCGTGAGACAGTTTTTTTTTGTATGTATATTTTATCTTGCGCTTCGAACTCATGAAATATCAATAAACCCTGTCCCACTTTTCACAACAAAGATATACAAGATAAGAAGAATATAACCATTTCTGTGCCACAGGGCCGATTTTGGGCCGATCACACAGTTGCGTAGAGTGCCACGGGGCCGATTTTGGGCCGATTTTATTAAACTGAATTGTGACCTTGTATTTCATTTACTTTTATTCAGCGTAAATAATTGCTAACCCTTTGCACCTTTTTATTGCATAACATTAAGGGTTTTCATGACTCATTTGTAGAATATCATGAAAATTTCAGACAAATATATGGATAAACGAAGTATAACTCGATTAAATTTTTCAAATAAATGAGTTGTTATTCATAATTATTACTATTGAATATGCACAATGAAACATGTATATGGTACATGATTTCATTTCAAATGTATTTTTTCATACTCTTATAAATTCAGTTTATTGAGGTAGGGTCGACTACTCGTCTATTTTGCAGCAACGGTTAGAATCAAAGTCATTTTAATTTTACGTAAATGACGTCATAATAACAAGTACGTGTAAGCCAAACCTTGAGAAATGTTCTGAGTTAATTGATTACCAGTAATTCAGGCCCTTAGATTGATTGATTGTTTTACGCCGAGTCGGCAATATTTCAGCCATATTTCGGCGACAGGCCCTAAGAATATTCCACATATATGACTAGACGAGAGGGGCGGTTCGGACCCCCCCTTTTTTTTTTACCTGCTTAATTCATATAAATAAATGACGTCGGACTCTTCAAGAAGCACAGACCACATACGGGAGTGTAAGATATATAAATAAAATTGTCCCCCCTCTCTTTCTCTCTCTCCATGAAATAGGATTTTGTGATAAGAGAATGTTTCCCCTTGTAAAAAAAATCTAATTCGGGTATAATAAGACATAAGTGACACAATATTGTCAAGTTTATTTATTTTATTTTGTTACGTATGTAGAAATTGCACATGTAATATTTTTTAAAGAATAAATTAAATATTGTTTCCTGTATCGTCTCGTTACCTGTTTTTGATTGTATTGTACGTTCGATTTATTTTTTCTGGGTTTTCTTTATGCCTAGATGCAGATATTACATGTGGCTGCTCAGCTAAAAATACCTAATAATTAAATATATTGAAAAGATAATCAAAGTTAATAGGTTCATATGTTTGTTTTTGCTATAATTGTCGTCTGAAATTTTCATCTTTACCAATACTTATTTTTATTTGTTCCCTATTGACTTTATATTATACATAACTATTAATATTTCATAGATTTTTTTAAAGTAGCCCTGTCACCAAGACGCATGAATACAATGTATTACTAACAGTGAAAGGGATAATCAGATGATTTTGACATCTTGATGATATGTGTGATATGATCACTTTTCTTCCAGAATTTCAATAGAAAATAACAACGCAATTTTATTGAAATCTCTAATGAGGAAATACATGTACGGTCAATGAATGAAATTGTTCGTATGACAAAATGTTTTGTATGTGTGTGTGTGTTTGTGTGTGTGTTTATTTTGTTTGTTTGTTTTGTTTATTTATTTTATTTTATTTTGTTATTAGGCAAATGATCTTTTTTTCTTTGTGTAGGATATCCTAAATATATTCCCTATCAATTTGACCGGAAGTACAGATTATTTAGATTTTTGCTAAGGAAATTGCACCTCCCTCTGATGATGACTATACAAATCAAGTAAACGTGTACAAAATACAAAGTGTGGTTATATTATATATTTTGCTGATTTTTTCCTTTGAATTAATGCTAATCATGCATCAGGTAATGCTATTTTGGGGACTATGAAAATTTAAAAAAAAAAAAACAAAAAAAAACAATTCAATTATTTGAAAATCTAATTAAAACAGTAGTAGAAACTTGCCTAAAGCGCACTCTGGTGAAAACAGTGAGGGGGGGGGGGGAGAAAATGAAAAACAAGAAACAAAAACAACAGTAAACAAACTGAAAAAAAACTGCAAACCTCTATCATTTTAAGGTTTTTATTCTGATCATTCTCACTCTTGTTTTTGGCTTCAACACAAAAAAGGGGAAGGGGACAACCGTCTTTGAATTAAAAAAAACAAACATTAGATATTAATTAAATATATAGCAAATGACTATTATTAAAAAAATGGGTGTAACTCGATTCAACCCCCCTTCCACCCATTAGTACGTACCTGCAACCTGGAAATACGCGATTTTTAACATCGTCCTTCTCATCACAATCACATGTGAGTTTCATATTCATTCGTATCGCACGTTTAAGTTTAGTGTTGCATTTTATTTCATTGTTATTACTTTTTTGCATTTCGTTGAACGAATTCTTTGCAATCCTTTTCGTTTTCAATCCAGTTTTCTATAATTCTTCCTCCACTACGCCATCCTGATATATTCTACATGATTTTCAATATAATATTTTGTTTAAAGTAAAAACAGAGTTTACGACGTATGTTTTTAGTTTCTTAATCGCAATTCTTAGATTAACATTCTCTTTGAGTGCTCTTCAAATATATACGGAAATGCAAATTAAAGTTTGAGAAAACATAAATGGAATATGTACAGTTGTGTACGTGTACCTATGGAAACGAATAAACAACTACAATTTGAGAGAGAGAGAGAGAATAGACGCAGTTAATAAAACATTATACAGTTTAGTTTGAATTGTTTTGAATTATTATAATTATGCTTGAAATTTATTGCTTTTTTATTTATCTGTTCGTATTGACTTTTTCGCTTAATTCTCAAGTGCTGATTTTTTTAAAGTTAAATTTTGCACTATAAAAGTGATTGAGCTTGGGGGGGGGGGGTGTTTTGTTTCGCTTAAATTGGGGGGGGGGGGCGAAAATGTTTTTTTTTTAATCTCAATTTAATAAATTATTCTGTTTATGTTAACACTTGCCGAAACGTATCCATATCTAGGCTTTTTATGACCAAGCTTTTTGTATTAAACCAACAATCCTTTTTAATTGTGTTTCCATACATAATTATTTTTTTTTTAGATAAAAAATACGAAAATATGTTGAATTTTGTCTCGTTTTAGTTTTTCTAGCGTGGGTGTTTGTATGTTTGAAATATTTGTTTTAAATTATAATATAACTTGCTGTCGTAGAAAGCTTTTCATTTATTTAAAATATTGATTACGCCCGATATCCGGACACTCTGAACATGCAGAATTGAACCGCACCAATTCAGAACCGGGTCGATAAAAAATTAATGTAATTTTTCTCTCTTATTTATGGTGTTCCGTTGAGGCCACTCGCACCTTCGCCTTTAGGGCGAAGATGCGAGAGTGCGAAGGCGAAAGTGCGAAGTTGCGAAGGCGAAGGAGCGAAAGTGCGAAGATGCGACGGCGAAGGTGCGAGGGCGAAAGTGCAGATAACCCTGTAAAATATAAATGAATTTTTAATAATTAATTGATAGTAAGCAAGACGGCCTAACTTTTACAACTGTTTTAGTCTCATAGTCACACTAACCTACCGCATGCGTACCAATAACATCCAAGAGCCCACTAAAATTAACCCATTACGATAAAGAGCTCCACAGAAGTAAAAAGCGAAGGCGAAAGTGCGAAGTTGCGAAGGCGAAAGTACGATATTAGTATCGCTCCTTCGCCCTCGCAACTTTGCACTTTCGCAACTTCGCACTCTCGCATCTTCCCCCTAAAGGCGAGAGTGCGAAGATGCGATTGGCCCCAACGGAACACCATACCTATTAAAAGATAGCAAATGGTGTAAGCGACTGAAATATAAATTAAAAGATGAATGGGCTTCGTTCGAGTATTGCAAGTTGATAACAAGTAGATTTTATTACCAAAACTTAAGACAATATATATAAATCTTTAACTTAAGTGAACTAATGGAGGGCGATTTACATAATTTGTGGTTGATCTACACTTGACCATCCATTAAAAAAAAGTTTTTGTTTAATGTTGTAACAAAAGAGCATGAAATCGGATACGAAGCTTAAGGGCTGCAGGTAACCAAGGATGTAAAATACTAAAAACGTTTGTAGGATTCATGAGGCGGGGGGGGGGGGGGGGCTCCTTTTGAAATTTTCCATTGGATTTATTAAATTTTTATGTAAAAGTAACGAAAAGCCACCACTAGGAAATATAGAGCCCACTTAAAAGGTAAGGGGGGAAGAGAGTAATGTAATTAAAAAAAAAGACTTACGAAAGCCCCCCCCCCCCTTTCTCCTCCACACACATACACAAAATATGTTTTTTCAGGTTTGAGCTGGATGCTTTTCAAGACTGACACGTATCCCACTCTAGGAAAAAAAAATCTGCACCCGACCCTGATTTCTGAGAATAATTGTATACAAGGACAGGTCGCTGTTTGACTCGAAGGCCCGAGAAGCGCTGTTTTAAAGGCATTTAATTTTTTTTAATAAAAGAAATTACGCTTTAATTATTCATTTTTTCAAGATAAACAAAAGAACACCGGACACTGCACATGTTAAATTTAGTATGCGCATCCACTTCATTTAATGATGTTGCATAATGCTTCAATATGGACATTCCTAGCAAACATCT